TTAAATCTTGAGCAAAGGCTTCCAGGGTGGGATGTTCGAGGTCTGCGGATTCTGGGAGAGAGGAAATGAAAGTAAGAGCACCCTCCAAAAAGACTGGCAGGCGAGAGAATTTTGTAGCAGTGGCGATGATTGGTTTCAAGAGGCTCGAGTCAAGCTCTCCAACTTTGTTAGCGAGTTCGACATACGTCTTGAAACCTTGACCAAGGAAAAACACTAGGCCCTTCGTCTCGGCGTTATTGCCTTCAGCTGCACCATCTTGGAACGCTGATAGGAGGTTACTATGCAACTTAGAGACCATCTTGGAAATTGTAGCAGAATCTGCAAACAAAGAGATAGCGGCTGGAAGCTTCACCAGCGCATTCAAGAAGGCTTCATCTTTTGTGGGGTATTCCAATGAATCAGTGATGCGGGATTTGAAGGCATCCGGGCAGGAAATGTAGCCAGGTTGCGAGATCTCGGACGTGATGCAACCAGCCTCATGCAGGCGTAACAGGGTGAAACAAGTCTCCCACTCGGATTTTTGCCATGATGAATTAATAAACTTCTGGAAAGGCGAAAGAAGCAAGCTCTGGAATCGCTCTGATCCCCACTCTGAGAATGTTGCGCAGAAGAATAGGAAATATTTTGAAAGCTGGCCTGTAGACACTAGGTCTATAATAGGGCGAAGGAAAGGTAGTAACTCGTCCATGGGGGACATTTGAAAGGCATATGCAACGCTGGTAAGGATCTGTAATATCGTTTCTGATGATACATCAGATGCGGACACCTGCTGGAGGAGGGACAGTTGAATCTGATGAACGATCTTCCAGTTTTGGATTCTGACACCCTTGCGAGTGGTCACAAGCAGGAACATTATACGGCAGCACTCCGAGAGATTGAGATTCGGGGTTGATTTTGAACGATCTTCGATATAAGCCTTGATTGTGTCGAGAATGGGACCGAAGGTATCGGGAGTCGTGGCGTGGACAAGACTGACAATCAGACCGAATATAACTTCTGCAGGATCATTGTGGTTTTCACTAGTCGGCGGCATCTGGCTTAGAACGCAACTGAGGATGTCCATGCCATTGGAGTGAAGCCCGTTATTGACTCCCCTGATAGCATCGGAGAACATGTTCATCAATCCTTCCCTGTAGTTCTCGGTATCCTTGTTGTCGTCGGCGGCCTTCGAGATATCGTCGAAAAGGAACGAGACCGCAGCATCGAGGGGTGCTTTGTTCTTGTAGTAAACAAGACCGGCCTTTCTAATAAGGAACGACATCGACTCAGCGGCGAACCTCGCCACAAATGGCTTTTGTCGTTCTTTTCCGAGATATGGAGTCATTATACCCAGCAGCTGCCGTAGGTCTGGTACCAACAGACGAGAAAGGAATTTGAAGATCCATGCAAGACAGGTGAAACTCCATTCAACGACCTCAATATCGGGATGTGTTGCCGCAACGGACGACACCAGTGTCACTGCCGTAGCAAAATGTTTTTCGAACTTGACACCCAGGTCCCGAGCAAATTGCGCAAGCAAGCTCAATAGCGGCTCCATAGAGAGCTGGTCTCTCTTCTCGATGAATTCCACCAATAGACCCATAATCTTTTCTTCATGATACAGAACTTGCGCAAAGCTCTCGGAAAGAGGGTTGACACGCCGTACAAATTGTGTAAAGTTGTCTGAAAGGTTCATCTCGAACCAGTGATCGAGAGCCGCTCGGAAATAAGAAGATGTTTCGTCTTCATCTTCGCCGAAACTGGCGCGGCGCACGCGGTGGATCGGGTCGATTTTGAGCTTGGTGATGCGTGATGAAAAGCCCTCGAATCGGTGGTTCTTTGTGGTTTCGGTGCCTGTTTTTAGGCGCCTAACAGGCTTTGATTTTGTGCCTGTCCCCACCATCTTGACGGGTCTGACGAGCAGCACTGTTCGTGAGAAAGGTACTGGCTATTTTTTTTTGGCTGATCCGCATGGAATACAAAAAAGTTATTCGGGACGGGATTTATTTATTCCGAGGCCGATATCTACTTACATCACGTGCTGATAAGGTGGCCCAAGCTCCTGCTTTCGAGAAACCCGAGGTGTTCTATCCTGCGCCTAGTTGCATGTAGTCGATCTTTGGTGGCAGCTTTGGACAGTTCGGGTGTTTGAAAAATCTTATACTTTTCGGGTCTTTTGTCTGTCCGTTTCCCCCCATTTTGGCTATCTTTTATCAAATTATTTCAACATCTTCCTGTACCGAGTCGACCTTCCACAAAGACAGACTCAAAAATGGCTCCCAAATGGTATGTATGTTTAGGTCTGCATGTATTCCAGTCTCTAACCAAATCTATATGTAGTATTGTCATTGGCAGCTTAAACGGTCAGATACGGCCTTTGTTCAGCAAGTTAGCCAAGCTGCAGCTAAAACAACATTTCTCCTTTGCGATCATTCTTGGCGACCTCTTCGGTGATGGGTCAACTGAAGACGAGCTCACTGATATTACCGCATTGCTACAAGGGAACATTACTGTGGCGTGCCCAACCTACTTCACGCTTGGTAACCGACCACTTCCCCCTCAGGTGGTCGAAAAGATTGAAGCAACTGATGAAGTGTGTCCCAATTTGTTCTTCCTGGGAAAGCGAGGAACCTTGAAGACAACAGATGGTATCCGTATTGTGGCCCTCGGTGGAACCATAGGAGAGGCAGAGGGTAGATCCAAACCCGAGAGCAATGCTAGCGGCAAGTTCCAACCCACATACAGTGAATCTGATGCTCGTGCACTGTTCGGCATTCACAAAACCGACATTCTTATCACCAACCAATGGCCGAAGGATGTCCGTCTAGGATCTAACTGCGAGGTCTCTGGGGATAAGGAGACTGTGCCATCCGAATTGCAATGCATTGCTGATGTCTGCGCGACTCTGAAACCCCGGTATCACTTTTCTCGGTCAGACGGTGCTTTCTTCGAGCGTGAACCCTTCTTTCACATGCCAGCAGAGGATGAAAATACCTACCAACTCACTCGGTTCATCTCATTGCCTACTTTCGGCTCGACAAAAAATGCTATTTATGCTTTTAGCTTGGACCCAACAGCACCTTTCCCAACCAGTATCCCCACAGGCTCCACCATTTGCCCTTGGTCGGCGGCGCAAAGTAGACGCAAAATGCTCCCAAGCCAAAATGAATCATACCAGCGCTACGCCCCCTCCGACAGAGATAGAGACCCAGGGCACCAGCGCCGACACAAAGAACGCGCCCCTCCGCCAGGCCCGGAGAATTGTTTCTTCTGTCTCTCAAATCCCAACATTGCCACCCATCTCATCACCTCAATCGGCAATGACAGCTACATCACCACCGCCAAAGGACCTTTGCCCACAACCGACTTCTTCCCTTCCCTGGGCTTCCCAGGCCATATGCTCATCATCCCCTTTGAACACTGCCCGACCATCGACCTAATCTTCGACCCGGCCACCCGAGCTTCGACATTTGCCGAGATGCAACGGTACCGCGAATCCCTGCACCAAATGCTGAACGAGCGTTCAGGAGGCAAGCTGGGTGCTGTCACATGGGAAGTCAGCCGCTCAAACGGCATCCACACACATTGGCAATTCCTGCCGATGCCCGTGGAGAAGATCCGCTCACGCCTTGTGGAAATGGCATTCAAGAAGGAAGCCTCGAACCTAGAATATTCGACGTTCAAGACCGTGCCAAACCCCGATGAAATGCACAATCATCATATGATCGATTATTTCCGAGTCTTCATTTGGACGCCTGCGCTCAGCAGTGAAGCCGAAGCCGAAGCCGATAATTGGTCTTCACCTGAGCACAAAGGCGTTTGGAAGACTGAATCTGGAGAAGAGAATGTTATTATTATGAAAATCCTGCCAGAGACCCGGTTTGATTTGCAATTCGGTCGTCGGGTCATGGGCAAGGTACTCTATTTAGATGACCGTATTAACTGGAGGGATTGTGTGCAGACCGACGACGAGGAGACGAAAGACGCGGAGGCTTTCAAGGAGGCTTTCAAGAAACATGATTTCGCGATGGAGGTTGAGGAGTGAATGTGAGATCAGCAAGTTTCTTCTTTATTTTCCAGGTTCATATATGATAAATGTGTGGTATGGTGATCAAGGGGTCTTTCCAGGGGGCGCGTCTTCGGAAAGCTCCCTTTTCGTGTATAGTACGATGAAATGTGACATGAGTTCAAAATTGAAGCCAAAATTCAAGTTTCACAGATTTTTGCAGATTCCACGCGGACCACATATAAGGAATACTCATATTAATGCGTTTTCCTATGCTGTTTCAAGCACTGAGATTCTAGCGATGCGAAACTGCTAGACTATGCCCGGATGCTCGAGATGCTAACCTTGGAAGATACCTGCGCTTTTAAAAAGCCTAACGCTTAATCAACTGCTTTATCGTCAATTACTTTAGCAACTACTTAAGCAACCAATTAAGCAACCGCTGTAGTAACTGCTTTAGTGGTTAATTAAAGAGGATCGTCGTTTCAAGTCTGGTGAATGTGATAGGCCGAAAGGCGGGGGAAACTATGGGGATGTGTCCCTTGTTGACCCTGTCAGACCTCATCTCTTGGTGTTTCAGCTATTTCCCTCTTCTCTCCTTCGTCGAGGCTCTTCTTCCGGCCATTTGGCAGTTTCAATCATTTCCAGAGTCTGCAACTCATCGTTTAGTCTTTTTTTGGATCCTCTAGGGTCTCACACACTCTCTCTAGTCTTTCTTCGTCAATGTCTCAATGTTCTATTTTGGTAACTTGCTGCCTGTTCGATCCACCCTCTTGAACTAGCATCTATTCACTCCATATTCGCTCATATTGAATCTATTGTGTGACTTCGCATCTACTTCTACACTCGGACGCGCCCCGCCTCTTGATACCTCCGACCCCGACACGCTTGTACATCTCATTCGCGCTACAGTTCACACTAGACTACGTCTAGTTTTGAATACATTGGCTGTTCGCAGCCATTGGAAATCGGATGATTCCCTTATCGCATTGCGCACCCGCTATTCATTTACAAGATGAGTCCGGCAAATATTACACTATGGGCTCGAGATACCGCGAGTGATCTCGCGGCGGTTCCAAGCACCTTCTCCAGCTGGGACAAATGTATGACCAAATCGTACTGCAAGTGAGTTCCCTCGAGGGATATGCTACCTTTGCGCATGGTCTGCATTCTGCATGATACTAATTAATTGGCGCAGGTGGCCCGTCATCGTTGGTATAATCGTCGGTTCGATAATTTTACTCTCCGTATTAGCTTGCATCTTCAATTGTCTCTGTTGCGGCTATCAAGGTTGCAAGTGCTGCTGTAGCTGTTGTTGTCCGTCAGGCAGGCGCAGGAACAAAACGCCTAAAGACTTTGATGACCCTCCTTTCCACCAGCACCAGCCTCCGCCAGCACCAACTCCAGTCTATCAAGCACCACCAGCCCCGCCCTCATATCGTGGTGCGCAACAGACTGCACATTTCGACGCGCCCAAGTCTCCGGCCGCCCATGTTAATGAGGACGCCCTGCCTGAAATGCCTACCTGGGCTGGTGCCGTTGACAAGCATGTTGAAGATTCGAATCATTACGACGACGTCGAAATGGAGCCTTTGAATCCGCCGAACAGGAATCAGGGTGCCGGTACACCTGGTGCCGTTTACTCTGACCATTCACCCAACCCACCCATGGGTGCAGCCGCGGCCGGATACAGAGGATTTGGGCCTACTGATCCGCGTGTACGCCGGTCCCCCGGCCCACGAGCAGCCTTGAATCCCGTCCAAGATCCGTACGGGCGGCGCTCGCCCGGTATATCACCATCAGCCCCAGCAGCTGGCTATGGTGCCGCGGCCTATGACCCCTACGGTTCTCGCTCTCCGACATCGCCTGTTGAAGCACCAGTCCACAATCCTTACGGCCAGCAACAATACCAAGATTCCTACGCTATCCACTCCTATGGCGCAGGAAATGGCTACCACGCCGTAACCGCCCCCTCGCCCGTGGCTGCATACAGGCCGCACACGAACTACAGCCCCGTGCCAATGGCCTTCTCCCCATCCTCGGAGATAGACCACGCGGCCGCGGGCCCAACATCAGGCTTCCAGCGCCAGCCATCCTTTGGCTCTAGCCAGTATCCCCCAACATATACCTCCCAGCCTCCATACCGCGGCTTCTCCCCCGGTGCATCTTCTACGCCCCCTCCTGCTTTCTCGGCTCCTTCACCTTCAGAGTACACTACCTATAACCCCCACGCCAACACCATCCCCATTCCCGAGCCCGACAACACCAGACCTCCGAGTCTGTTGCAGAGCGGTAGAAAGCCTACCGTCAATGCTTATGGCAACTTTTGAGTATGACCCTTGTCGATCGAGGCGGTTTCATGACCAGAACGTTTTTTTTTTGTTTTCTCTTCTACCTTTTTTCGTTTGATACCATTCTGAGGCTTTATTTGTCTTCGTTCATCTTTTATACTTACATGCCATGACCTTGGGCCAAATTTGGGCCTAGAATTAAAGATATTTCCTTTCTTTCATCACTTCTCCCACTTGTACTCTTTTGCATCCACGGGTCGGCTTTGACTCGTTCGACGGGTGGCGGGTTTTTTGAAAAACAATGCGCATTTTTGCCCAGCAGCATATGTCCCCCATGTGATTCCTCTTGATTGCGGAGCGAAGCGAAGCAATTAAATCATAACCTCGTGTGTATGTCACGTGACCGTTCTTTTCTCCTCCAAAATCATTAGTTAGAATCAATGCAGTGAAGAAGTGATGGGCTAACTTTGGCAGAATAATCCAACCGGCAGAATATATAGACTGGCCTAATCTGGCTAGACGATAATTTCTATTACGTGCTGTAGGCTAGTTACTCAAGCGGTTACTAGAGTGGTTAGTTACACGAGTTGAATGTTTACGAAGGACTTGAAGTTATTTGAATATTTTTTTCATTCTCACAAAAGAAAATCAAACATTTGTGAACTGGTTGTCTCCTCCGATTACCCTTTCCAGACCATTAAAATCTCACAAGGAAACATATCCAGAGAGAAAAGGCCTGTAATACACAAGCAATTCTCGTTATGTACAGCTGTAAGAGTCGCACTCGATGCAAAGATTACATCCTCAAGATCCTCCTCACTACCCCAATGACACGGTTCAAAGGGGGATATTATCGGGACAATGCATGAAAATACAAATGCTCCTGAAGAATTCAGCCAGTCAAGGGACTGGCGTTGAGCATCGAGATGCAAATTTGGACAGCGTGGAATGATCCACAGAAGAAAGTGTGTACATAGAAGGACCAAATAGTGGATTAAAGGGCGATAATGGTGTCAAAAGAATGTCCGGAGAGAAAAGGAGATGCCAAAGTGTCGGCAGAATGTTCGATGGGAATCGTCCTTGGGGGTATTGTCTTCATGAGACCCATGGAGGTATGAGAAAATGGAAATCAGGTGATGGTAGGCCGGGGGCGTCTTCGTGCGCATTTTCGGGTTTGAAAGTTGCGGTGTCGTAAGTAGACATATGAAATGGGACTCAGATTCAAATGAGGTCATAGGAGTCAATAACCCAGTATGATCCTGGGTTGTGGGCATAGAGAGATGTGGCGAGAGGCCACGCAAGGAAAATATTGAAGCAAGAACCCATGAGTTAAAGAGGGTCAGCCAAGGAGAGGACGATACCAAAATGAGGTATCAAAGAGATGAGGAAAAAGGTGAACAGCGCGGGGTATGCAGCATGCCAACACGAATCAGACGTCAGCAGAACTGAGGTGGTCGAGAGAAGAGAAGTTGAGGGTAAAAAAAAAAAAAGAAAAGAAAAAGCCAGCATAAAGCATCTTGGTATGCATCAGCCAAACACCACGCTCCAAGTACAAGACGACAAAAAAAAAAAAACAAAGAAAAGACATAAGACGCAAGAAAATGCAAATCACCAAGAAGGAAAGGTGAGTCCCTTAGTAGGAAAGCATGCGACGGCCAGGGGTCCGAACAGGCACTGGGCTTTGAGAAAAGGGAGAGCTTGGGTAGCGGTTTCGATCCTCGCCAAGTCGGCAACGTCCGGTTGGGCTGTCCTCCATCTGGGGTGATTGTTCACCAAAGGCAAAAGTCTGGGCGCGGTTCAGCTTGGAGCGCTGCTTGACCTTGCCAAGTCCACGCTCGCAGGCAAATTCGTGCTCCTTGGCGCTCATCTCGACATAGTTCTGAGGGAAGCAGAAAGAGCGATGTTCAGCGAAGAACGAGCTGTATCCACCATCCAGAATGTACATATCAGGATATGACAGGTTAGGGTAAGTATCAACATTGATAGCGCGGTCGTGGTGACGCAGGTACTTGGCCATGATGGGAGCCCGGTGGGCAGAGTACTCGCAGTGCAAGACAAGCGCAGTGCGAGCCTGGGGGGCATTGAAGAGTTCACCTGCGAGGCGTTCCTTGTCGTTATAGTTCAATGCACCATTGATATGGCCACCCTCATACTCATACTCGAAGCGGCAGTCAATGATGAGAATGTTATCGAAATGCTCATTGAATTTTCCATTCATGAGTTCCAGAAGAGTGCTCTTGTCGATGCGAGGCAGAGAGTCCGCGCGATCCTCAGGGATGAAGTGAGGCAGCTTCATGCTGGGCGGACTCGAAATGTCACTGATGGACTGGACGGGTGTATTTGTCGCTACCTTGGCCTCTTTATCGGCAATAACATCTGCTGGGTTCTCAAACATGCTCAATGATCGTCGGCATTGCTTGCGAGGACGCATCATCGAGTGAGCGGGTTTGCGAATTGAACAGGGAACGGGCGAGCCGCTGCTACGGGCATGCTGGAGGGATGGCCGCATACGGGGCGGCGCCAGGTGAGTGGAAGAATTGTTGCGCGAGATTGAACGCTCATGGGGGGGCGAATCCCCAAACATATCTTCCAGGGAAGTGGACGTGCTCAGAGTGGTCTTGGCCCCGGTTCCAAATCGGAAGGGGGGTGCTTTGCTCTCTGGTGCCGGCCGGGTCAATCCAAGCTGGAAAGACTGAGCCTTGCTTCTAGCCAGACTCGGACGCAGGAAGTTAGGTCGCTTTCTGCTGCCAAATAAGAATCCACATTAGCAAAACTGTAGTTGGTGGCTGAATAACACGTGAACTTACTCAGTTGGGCATAAAGGCGACTCCATGGGCGACTCTTGAAGAGGGCTTGGTAGCGGAGACACCATGGGTGATTCCATAGGACTGCCCCCGGGTGTCGGCGACTGGATCTCGATCTCTGCTGTGACAAAAAATGCGGGCTTGTGAGGCAGAGGCGACATATCCATCAGGTCCATAGCCGGAGCTGGTGAAGAAGATGGGAGCGGCGGGGTGGTCATCACATCATCTATAAAGTATCAGTCAAACAGTCGCTACCCCACCCTGCCATTCTCGGCACTGCTTACCTCGTCCATTGACCTGACCAAGCATACTGGCCGTGAACAAAGACCGGCGTGGTGTGGCCAACTGAGGACTAAATATAGAGTTAGCCGGGCTTTGTCCCTTTGAACCTCATGGAAGGACCATGGACCAGCTCCACATACCTCTGATCAATGTGGAAATTCTGAGACAGGTCCGCCGCCAGACTGGCAGTTGGGGATGATCCTCGAATGGGTTTCAGGTTGAAGTAGTCCGAAGTAGACTTCTTCATAGACAATTCCTTGAAATTGAACGGGTTCCCACCGAATCCAGACATTGAGCCCAGGGGATAAGTGGAGGCCTCTGAACGAAAGCAATGGCCAAACATGACCGACGGAGGCTGCATCGCAGCGAGAGGTGAAGAGTGTTCCATGGCCGGTGACAAATCGGACCTGGAGCCAAAAGCCGACGTAGTACAGTTTCTGGCAAAGCAACCGGAACGGATTGGAACAATGGCAAATCAGGCCCTGCGCAAGATGTCTACCCCGTACTAGGTCCTACAAACTGAGGTTCAAAGAAAAAATTGTCTCAATGCACGTCTCCACGTTTGCAATTTCAACGTTATGGGTCCCCACGATCGCCGTGACAACCAGTCCGGGAAAAAAAATTCCTAGGTCCCAGACCCTCACCACCAACGGCCAGAGTTGTGCTGTGTTCAAGACAACTAGATTTAGCGGGCCATGGCAAGATGTCGACCAGGTAGGTGAATATGGATTCCAGAGGGCGACTATGTCGGACGTGATTGGAGGGGTCGGGGGGGTAGCTCGTGGGTGCTGCAGGAGGGGGAAAGGGTTCCAAGAATATGATATGGCTTGTCGGACGGGAACAACAAAATTGAATCTCACGATGCCGAGTGAGGAATGTCGCGAGTAGTTAAGAAGAAGAAGAGAAAGTAGGAACAAAGACGATTTGAAGAAAGAAGCCGTGAAGCTGAAGGGATGGGCTTGTTGCAATGGGCAACGCAGGTGGGGAGGATCTCCGAATGTACAGAGTATTGAGTAATACTGCGGCTCCGATATTCATGTAATGAATATTTTAATATTAAAAAAGGGTATACTAGAGGTATTGGGGGTAATCGACGTAATCTGGGAGTAATCGAGGTATGTATGGGGGTGGAAACCGCTAGTTCCAGAGTACGGAAAAAGCCCAAAAAAGAATTAAAATCAGACTAGGACGAAAGGGAAGTCAAGAATAAACCTATTAATTGACTAAAAGAGACTGGGGAAGACTAAGATCGGTATGCAAAGGCGAGTAACCGGAGACAGTAAAAGATAGACAGTCCCCATGCTCTGGCTAGGGGCCAAATACTTTTTTTCGTCGTTGCCCGGGGCTCCCTTGCCGCAGCAACCCAGCGCCTATCACAGCTCGTCGGGTTGCTGGTATAGACGATGATGTCTCGGGTTTAGCTTTGTCTCCCCTGCTCTATGGAAGGAGGATTTGTCTTGCTATTACGGAGTAGTTATACGGAGTATTACACGGAGTACTATTACTATGTATGACCAGGGCTACATATAACTAGGGCTATATGTATGTAGTTCTCTCGTCCCTTCTTACGTTAAATAACTATCCAGTATCCACCAAAAAACTTTTTTTTCTCTCCCGTGTGTGTCCGTCACCGTATGAACCACAGTTCAGCTGAGAAAAAAAAAACGGAGCCAAAGAGATCGAGTCTAATGCAGAAAAATATCCACTTTCCTATTCTCGGGAGAAAATTTAAAGCTTCTGCAAGTGATGGGAAGCAAGTGATGAAGGAAGTAAGGGCGCGACTACGGAGTACATACAATTGAACGGCTTCTTTTTTATTGCGTTGCACTTTAACCTCACGATATGCTTCGAAATCCAAAATGCTGAGAAATGTGGTCTGGAAATTAGCTCCATTCACAATTATAGTGCAATATAGTGCTCGATTGACTCAACTAGTGCGATAAGAAGCCCTCTTACCCGAGGTATTGATTGGCCCATACCGGAGCGTGTAAATCTTAAAGATCTCGTCTTCGCAATGTGAAAAGAGTTGATCCTATCTCAGCCCTATTAGGGGATATCAAGAGCCGATCTGAGCTGGAATCTGTCTCCTGTACGTCGTACGGGGTATGTACAATGCGGCATCTTGCACGGGAGTGTCAATTGCCGTTGAATTGTCGAATTGCTTCGAGATCGGAGCGTCCAACGTAGTATCGTGTAAGGAATGGTAGATAATCTCATTCTCCTCTGGAAAGCGAAGACGCCATACCCGTGCTGCCCTTACTTGTACCGGCATTCTTGTTGATCAAGGGTTCACGATGGCTTCCAATGTCGCGCATCCCTTCCATCCCCCTTGGTAGGATGTTTGACTTCAATATACATTAATTGCCTAAGGGTAGTTCGATTGGAGTCCCGCTGAATGGCATTCACCGCGCTTTTTGCAACTTGACAATGAATGCGATTGTATCTGTATTGCCCTCGCTCCGGAATTAGGGCTAATACTCGCATCAAGGACAAGCCGGGATCACGATTTATGCGATTGACACAACAAACCACCGGTGAAGAACCTGGTACGGTCAACAACCTTAAACAAGTTTATCAGTATAGATCTCCTCCATCGGTCCTATTCAGGCTATCAGATGCGATATTTACAAGGTATACTCCGCACTCAATCTCTCAATTCGCCACCATCCACAGGCTTATACTTTGAACAAAGTCTGCGGAGTGTGTTCTACGGGGTGTGAAACTGCTAATCGGCTATAGTCGTCAGGTCATGGTGGACACTCGGCTGATGATTTCATTACTTTATTCTGGTATTCTAGACCCTCTCGTGAAACACCGGAACCTCGGGCTTCCCTGTTCATGGTATGTCCCGTCAATCCGAGATGCATCAACCCCCAATCCGTTGAATATTAACAATTGGCTGTCCTCGCTGTTATATAGCACTTGGTGCAGGCATCTTACACAAATCCCCCTGTGGCAGACGATGCGGTGTGCTCCCCGACGCTGTTCGGAAGATTGTATTGCCCAGGTGGCCCGTGATACTACGTCATATCGACTGCACATCTATCTATTTGCGTCCCGTGCACAGCTTGCAAACCTGATATCCTAATTTAAGCTTGGAAGTCGAGGACTAAGCCGATCTTGAAACCTTGGGAAGTGTCTCGGGTCGCGTCGACGCTTGTTTGGGGGTGTTTTGGTCTACTCCGTATTGACCACAACACTGGAATATGCACGAATTAGCAAGCATCCACTTTCCAGGCGCTTACAGATGCAAGACTCTCATAACATGCTAGCCATGTCAGCCCAAGTGCCCCGATCTGAGTATGTATCTGCGCCACGCCTGCAGTCATAGCTAAGGTGGGGTCGGAGAGGACCGCCCGATGATGTGACCGGTCAATTGCATCACAACGCCATGTGCGATGGAGCCAGTCATGTCAGTTCTCCAGCCGACTGACTTTCGCTGCTGCGGGGTCCGTCACATCTCACCTCGTGTCCTGCTAAACATAACCTGCATGGAGAGATGGATAGGGTTGTCTAGACCTTTTTCCCCTCCTTGTCCAAGAATACTCCCCCTCTTCCCGACCAATGTGATGTCACGATCGTGTTGATTGTTGATAGCGCGTGCAGATGAAGGTAAACAAAGCAAACCAGATTCCAAGCTAATGCGATATCCCGTGATCGCACATGACATCAAAGGGAAACTTGCCCAGATCAGGATTTCCGACCTCTCTCAACTGGGATTCGATGTGTATTTTGGTATATTATACCTCTAGTAAGACATACAGAGTACTGGAAATACACTTACCCTACATTTCCCCTGGGCTTTTCTATATTTGTTAATTATTATTCTCCCGTCCCGGGGACCCCGATCTGCGCCGCTATTGGTATCCTTTATCCGCCTCATCGGCTTCGTGCCTGTCAGCTCCCCTCTCTCAAATCGTGCTATCACTTTTCTAGTGACGCCCTACTCCCTATTGGGCTCGTATCACATAGCTCCGATCGTGGCTGTCTCTGTGGAATGCACCCGCCCAACGTGATAGATCGAGAGGCCTAGACGCCGCTGGACTGGTATATTCGACAGCCATAAGTTGGATTGTACTGGTTTAGACTTTGTCTCGTGGCATCGAATAGCCTCTTTTGGTCAATTATTATGCTCTTTTATGCTCTTAATACTGCATCCAGACCTCAAGCTAAACCCCGTAGCCACCCCCGTCTTTACTTAAACCCCGTGTACACTCCCCAATATCCCAGGACTCCGCCAGATTCCACTCTGAACCTCCGAACAACCTCCCAAGTCACACAGACCCAAATAATAGGGTCCCGGTTGCATCAGGCAACCCCCCTGAACGCGCAAAATCTGACACCCGACTCTACATCTATCACACCGGTTGCCAGGGACTCCCAGGCCCACCACGACGTCGGACTCCGTACACCATCACCCCGAGACCCATCCGCCTACATCAAAACCACCTGCGTGATTCCCACGAAATGAATTCCACATGTTACCAAGCACGACTAACTAACCTAATTCTAAAAAAACTACTTGAACCATGCAGATCCACGGTAGACGATCGCTCATCCGTTCCAACACATCGATTCTGATACAGAGGTAATTTTCTCCCGACTCCTTAATATGGATTCTCTCAGATGTCGAATGGTCCCGCCCAAGCCAAATTGATAGCTCGATGCACGGTTCCTGGTTTCACTCTCTCTCTATCGCCCGACAGCCCAGGAATGTTGCTCTGTCCGGTCATACTCGTATACAGATCAGCCCGGGCGGGTCGGTGCATCCGCGAAGGCAGCACCAAGCGGAGCCCGGATAGTGAAGCTCGGATCTAGCGCAATTAGCGGGTTTTCCTCGGCGACATGCGATTGTATAAATGGATGCTGATTTCCCGGTTGCCTTTGACAACAGGATAGCTTTGCGTCTGGACTGGTGTGGTTTGAGGTTGATAGCCCGGCTAGCACTTGGGTGATCTCGTTTTTGGGACGTCATTACCCCTGAATCAGTCTGGACTTCTTTTTGATCCCGGTTGCCCTGACAGCTTCGAATACACCGTGTTATTTTATCTACTGAAACGTTGGTTGCATGTTCCCATGTCCGATCTGTTGTGTGGTATTTGAGGTATCTTTGATGCGGCTTCCAGGGGCTACATTGGAGAGGTACGGACCACTCCGGCTTACTTGGAGATTGTCTTGAGGGTTTGGGGGCTAGATTGTCTTGGCTTGGATCGTAAGCTGGGTAGCGTTTGACTTTGTGGTTTGGATCTGCCTCCAGAATGCTGTCAGCAAATATTGCTTGTTGGAGGCCTTGGAGTCTTACTGAGAATAGTCACATGCTCTAATATATATGTGCCTGGACCTTCCATATAGCTTCGCACCACACTTGGTTTCCTAACGCGGCCAACAAATCATGAGCTCCAGAAATCCTCCCGAAGATTCTAGAAAATATCCACATTGAATGAGGTCGATTGCCCGTTCAACCCCAGGCTCTTTGGAGCATCGAAATTCTTATCGGCTTATCGGTCTAGGCTAGTCCTAAATAGGCTAAAGCATGAATTTTTCTGAGCGACTTGAACGGCCGCAAGGAGTGTTCAACGTGCCTTTGGTTTGCAGATCTTCATTATCCAAGGCCTGAGAGCGGATAATCCAATTGTTAATTCAACCTCGCATCTATCCGCTATCCCCAAACCCCCCAGACTCAGCAATGGGCCCCCCCTTCGCCGGTTCAAAGAAGCGCCGCCGTGAACCTCACAATGTCGACGTGAAGCTGGTGGAACTCTACGAGGATCTCGCTAGCGAAAAAGATGATATCCGACTCAAGGCTGCTCAAGCCCTAGTGTCGCAATTCACTCCGGACCAGAACCCTGCCGATGAACAGATCAAGAAGGTGCTGTCGAGACTCTTCCGCGGTCTCTGCAGTAGCCGCAAAGCTGCTCGAATCGGATTCTCCATTGCCTTGACAGAGATTCTGAGTCAGGTATTCTCGTCGCCGAGGGAGACATCACGCTTTGGCTTCTCGGATGCTCTGAACCTTTGGGAGTCTCAGTCGAGTTCCTACGGCAGCGAGTCGGGACAGGTTAGTGGACACACATGAGTTAAAACGTCGCATGCGCTAACTAGGATTCGTTCCATATAGGAGCAACGCGATCACCTTTTCGGTCGTCTTTTCGGCGCTGAAGCGATCATAAAATCCTCCGTTCTGTTCCAGCCCACCGTGCCCTTCGAGCAATGGACTCAGGTCGTCGATTTGGTTTTCGAACTCGCACAAAAGAAGCCATGGATTCGCGAAGAGTGTGGGTGGATTATCTACCAGTGTGTCTACGACCTGGCCGCGCGCAAGATGGAACCCAAGTACGTCCAGTCTGCGCTGGAACAGCTCTGCTTGCGCGACCTCGCCCGGTCGCCCGAGGGTGTTGCTATCTGGTTGGCGGCGAAGGATCTGTTCCCCGATGCTACTTTCCCGAGCAAGATCTGGAAGCATGACGATCCCCTGGATACGAAGGAGCGCAGCAGCATGTCGAAGATCATGAAGGAATCGGGTGCTGCGCCCAGCGAGGGCGAGACCAAGGTGAACACTGCGAAGTCCTCTGGCGTCTGGAATAACAAGCTTCACTTCGCCTGGGATGCGGTTCTCTCTCGGACCAGTGTTGAGGCGAAGGATAAGTCGAAGAAGTCTCGTATGACCTTCGCTGATTTTTGGACAGAGGTTGTGGACAGTGAGTACCTATCTAGCGGTGGAATTCTGCTCAAGGCACATGGAACTGACAAAAAGTCTCTTTACAGATGGATTGTTCGCTGCTGCGTCCTCGGACGAGCGTAAATACTGGGGCTTCCTTCTTTTCAACAGAATTCTCAACGATGGCGGGTCGCAGCAGGCCTCTCAGATTTTCACCAAGAACCTTATGCGATGCTTAACGAACCAGCTTGCTGTGGAGGACCGGTACTTACACCGAATGGCCGCTAAGGTGGCCAAGGCAATCCAGGCCCGTGTGTCCAAAGAGCCTGAATTCGCAGCTGCGGCCATCCGTGGATTGATGGGAACCAGCGGCACCCTGAACTTCGACCAGGCTACAAAGACCAAGACTGTGGAAAAGATTGTTGCCGAAGCCAACCACGAGGCATTGGAAGAGATTGTCCCGTTCTTCGAACAACTTATTCAAAATCCCGGCACCACCGAGGAGAAAACCGCCGCATCCAACCGTCAATTCGTCGCTGGTCTCCTTTTGTCAATTGTTCGCTCCAAGGCTTCTGCCGACGAAGACGATGCCGAAGACCTCCAAGCAAGCCTTGAGCAGATCCTGTCTATATTCGTGCGCTTTGCGTACTTTATGGATGCCGGCAAGGGATCCACTGCCCCTGAGCCTCCTCTGTCATCGGCGACACAAGAACTCCTGCGCAATCGAATCAACTCCTGCTTGAACAGCCTTATTTCCAACCAAAAGTTCGCCGCTACCCTCCCGTATGCTGTGGTGAAGCAGATTCGCGATGCAGCCAAGTCTGGCGAATTCGGCAAGTTCATCATCGCCATCGATGAGAAGCTGTCGGAATCTGTGAAGGCTGCTTTCAAATCTCTAAAGAAGTTGTCCAGCAGGGTATGATTTCTCCCCTTATCAGCTTTTAGCTACTTGTACTGACCATCACATAGGAGAAGAAGGAGAAGGGCATGGCCGCATTCAAGCTGCTTTACTCTATGACTATCATGCAGGTGTACAACGGAGACGCAGACGCTGTATCCATGCTTGATGAGCTGGAGTTCTGTTATACCAAGTTCTTGGGCGACAAGGAAACTAAGACAGAAGACGCCGGCGATGCCTCGGATGCGTTAGTTGAGATCCTTCTCAGTTTCGCATCCAAGCAATCGCAGCTGTTCCGTCGTATGAGTGAGCAGGTGTTTGGCGCATTCGCTAACCAGATCACCGAGAACGGATTGGAATCTTTGACCTCGGTATGTCGCCTCAATTTCTATGAGATATGCATTTTCTAACTAGACCTAGATTCTGGAGGCCAAGGAGAGTCTCGCTGGACAGCAAGAGATGTTTGAAGAGCAAGACGATGAAGGCGTGGAGGAAGGAGAAGATGACGAGGATGAGATGGATATCGACGAGGATGAGCTCGACAGCGATGTCGAGGTTGTCGAAGCCGGCGGCTCCGGCTCCGACGATGACGATGACGATGACGACGAGGAAGAAGAAGACAACGAAGAAGATGCAAAGGAAGTCGCCGCCTTCGAAGCCAAATTAGCCGCAGCTCTCGGCACACACCGCGCAGACGAAGACGAGTCCGATTCCGACGCCGACATGAACGACGACGAGATGGACGAGCTAGACGAAAAACTGGTGCAAGTATTCCGCGCGCGTCGTCAAGAAACATCCCACCGCAAAGACAAGAAAGATGCACGTGAGAACATGGTGAACTTCAAGAACCGCGTCCTGGACCTACTAGAGATCTTCGTGAAGAAGAGCCACACCCGCCCGCTCGCGCTAGATGTCCTCCTGCCGTTGCTCCGACTATCTCGCCGGACCAACGTGAAGCAGATCGCCACCAAGGCCAACGGAGTGCTGCGCGAGTACACAAAGGTGTGCAAGGGCAATTCGCTCCCGAAGATCGAGGACGAGGCACAGGCCGAGGCGCTCTGGGAGCTGCTTCGGTCTGTTCATAATGAGGCTAGCCACAGTGGCCCTATGGGCCATGCGACTGCTTGCAGCCAGGCTAGTTTGCTTGTTACTAAAGTGCTTGTTGCACATGATAAGGATGCTATTGCCCGTGTTGTGGATGTTTATGCTGCCACTCGCAAGGATCAACTCATGAGCACTAAGTGTCATGTGCAGCCGTCGTTCTTTTCGGAGTGGAATAACTGGTGTGTTTCTGCGAGCAAGCAGTTGAAGTGATGATGGGTTGTTTTATATAGAGATTGCGAGTTATGATCTGTCGCTGGACTTCATGTCAATATTATTATCAGGTTCATTCAACCTGTCTATATAGTCCACCTCTCTCTCTACCTTCCTTTAAACCCTCCTCCTGTAAACGACGAAGCTAAGTCCCGGCGGTGAGAAGATAACGTTGATATATATCACTGAAGGTCATACTGCGCGGGTATAGGGATAATTATGAAATAGTGAGGGTAGTAGATAGAATATATATAATAGGCCTCGCGGTTCCAAAGCGAGCCTATATGAATTATTAGTTTATAATGCATTATCCTGCAGCTGTATGTTATCCTCATCACAACGAATTATAGAAAACTCCCCTAAAAGCCAGTAATATATCGATGCTCATTCGTCTCTTCCAAAACCTCCAACCTCATCCCAACCTCAATAGCCCCCTCATTACGCGGCGCACTCAACATACCAAAACAAGGCTTATACCTAATCCCCTCATCCACCCTACGGTACGAAACAAGTGTATCCCACGGCTCCTTCTTATTCTTGAGCGCCGTATCTGGATCAACATTAGGCACCTGGCAGCGCGCACAGCGAGCCACAATATCCAGGTCAAGCGGAGACTGAATAACAGCCTCTCCGCTACCAGCGGAACCAATAAAAGTACCGCTAGCATTTCGACCAGTAATGCGAACCAACTTCCACGAATCCTCACTCCACGGCGCCCCGCCGCGAACAACGATATTCGGACGGAACCGCTCGACAGTAATCGGGTCGACGCCCACCCTTACCAGACGAACATTGAGCTCTGCCAGCGAAGCCTCCGACGCAATCAACACCGGATGCACGTCCGCAAAGCCGGTTGTTTGGACGCGGCCTAGGTAGCGGGGGGCGCCGTTACCCTTCAGCACGCGCGGAGCCGGGCCCTTGTAGACGAGAGCGACGTCGCGGCGCAGGAAAGCAGAGAAGGGAGCGTTGATTTCCTTGTTGTACCTGTACCCGTCTGTCTCTGTGTCCCAGATGTGGACGGGGCCCGTATTTGTATTTGCCGCTAGCCATTGCGGTGATGGATGGGAAGGGATGCGGATGGTATGAAAATGATGGTCTTGGCCTTGGTATTGGCTGGGTTTGTTGATTTCGGGTTTCGGTATACTCACGACCAACTCGTCGCCGTCGGCACTTATCGCGGTGCGAATGCGGGTCATGTCGGGGATTTGGCGGATGGTTAGAAACGTATTTGAGGATGCGTCAATGAGCATCCAGCGGCGGTCAAGGTCAAGACCATGCTGTTTAAGGACCGTTGATTGGACTTCTAGGCCTCTACAGGATTTTATGGGGTACATGCGCAGCGAGACGATTTCGCTGGATTGTTTGGGGCGCTGGCGCCATAGGCGGAGAAGTTTGGTAGGGGATTGGACTGATTTGGGCCATCCTTTGAAGCGCGGAATCAGGATGATTGGAATTAGGAGCAGAAGGCCTAATATCACTGCTGACACCATGTTGTGCGACTGAAGCATGCTATTTGGGAAGGGTATACAATTACAGGCCACCGAGGTGAGAAGTCGGTTTTGCCAAGGGGGGCCGCCTTATGATGTACGGCATATTCAGGCCACAGAGAGATATGTGGTACTTTCAGTTTGCTGTCATACTGTTCTGTCGATATGTTGTGCCTTATCGATTATTGTATATGGTATTTGCTTTAGGTCCAATAATAGAACTCGGAAGTATGAATTAGACAAAAGGTAAGTACTTGAGACATGCCACATATGAACACCACGTATAAATGCAATAAATGAGAGGGAAAGAAACCGGAAATGCACGTATAAGTCCAGGAGAAGCAACTGCTGAAGCGAACCAGATATTACAGGGGGCAAAAAGAACAACATGTACCTAGGTCGACCTCATTAAGGGGTATATGCCCAAGACACAGCTGACTGCGATGCCGCAATCTCGTTATGCCGAACCCTTCTTATCAAACCAACACGCGACCATTGCCTTAATTAAGGCGAGTGCGACAACCCGGCCCTGCTCAATATTCGCATCCTCAGACGCCCCAGGGACATGGAGGAATAGGACATTGCGGTCCTGGCCTTGTAATTGGGCCAAAGACATGCTGGTATAGAAGATGAAGTCGCACAAGTAGTGACCCGCGTCATTGGAAATCCGAAGATCCGAATCGGGAGCAAACGAGCGCCACGTCTCCAGGAACTGGTCATCGGGCTGATAAGGTGAAGCAGAGGAGGGGTCATCTGTAGCACGACCTGGGGTCAGAATCGGTGGCAGACCCAAACCTTTCCATTGTTTTTCGCCGTCCACATAGCCGGGGCGACCGTCGACATCTGTGATGTTATAGTCATCTCGGTGAGCTAGAATTTCGACGGAGTAATATTGCCGCGGAGCTGCGATGCCGATATGAATAATGAGATCAGGTCTGCAACCACCATGAGAGGCAGCAAACTCCTCCAGAATCAAGGGAAGAGTCTCTCGAACGGTGGCATATGCCACTGGGATCGGAGTGGGATGCACATGGAGTGAGACTCGACGCGGGCCTGAGTCTTGGTCTTTGGGTGACGGAAAAAGGAAAGATGATGGAAGAGAGGAGGCGACCAGATATGATGCATTTACAAGGTTGGTCTTGAAGGGCTGGTTACACTGTTAGTTTCGGATTACCAGCATCCGAAGTGCAGATCACTTACCCCAAAGCCTGTTATCAGGACGGATATCTCATTAACCGAAGCCGAGGGCCGTGGCGGGCTGTTATCGACAGGAGTGGAGGATATATATGGGGCAGCAGTACCGTAGTCACCCATGATCACGGTTATTCTCGAGGTGAAGTTGAGAAGAAGATGACTTTTGTGCGGGGAAGTTAAACCTTGGATGGCCAGACGAATGCGGGGGTCTTGGCGGGATGCAACCCATGGATTCTACTAACCTAATTCTGTTAAGCTATATATAAGTGCCCAGGTGGCGGCCAGTTAGGGCTTCATGTTTTAGGCTTATTATGTTGTATGTTGTAGGTTGGCTAGTTTACCTTTTCAACAAAAAGTAACAAAAAGAAAATCTCGGATGGGTTACCGAGACTTCTTCTCCTTGTACCACGGAGTACAGAGCTGGTTTCTCCTCTAACTATTCCACCGTTTAACTCGCAGAATTTGCAGGCTTCTATCATTGGCACGCTTATAGATTGAAAACCATCTGCATATGCAAGTGGATCCAGGCGGAATAGAAACCCCGGTCAAGAATTGCCTGTTCGGGTAAGGATCGCTTAATTTGGCTCTCGTTCTCGCATTCCAGGTTAGGTTTGGAGTATACCCATCAATGTGAGCTAAGAATATGACTCCGGAGCTTTGACATTTGGGTGAAAGGAGTTGGTCAGCTTAGATTTTATTGGACCTGTAGATTTCCAATGTTGCTTGGCTTTGGCTCGGTTCGGTTCAGCTTGACAACTTGATACCTACGTGGGTCCCCCCTGGTTCGAATATCCAGTCCAAGATCGGGTTGGGAGGAAAACGGAGTCTCCCTTACTGGCGGATGGCTCGGGAACTATTATAAATGAGAAGGTCCTCGGAGAATATCAGTTTCTAGAAATCTGGGGTGTCGCTTCTATTGCTGTCCCCTTCCCCCCTTTTCAGTCTTGACCTTGACTATGGCAGTCATCACTGAATTGCTCAACAGTCCCTATGTCGTACAGAGTGTATGCATTGCCCTAGTGGCGGTGTTTATAACGAGCTTTTGGGCAGATATAGCAAACGAGATTCCCCATAGACACATTCCTCTAGTTGGAAAAACCTGGTGGGAGCTTACCAACAAAAAGGCCCGGCAACGCTTTACTCGGTCATCTCGCCAACTAATTACCGAAGGATTTGCCAAGGTGAGTCCTAAGAGAAATAGATGACAGCATTATCTACTCTCAAATATGTTAATAGGCCTTTGCAGGGAGCAAATGTCTTTCAGATCATCGGAGCCACAAACCCGATAGTTGTATTGCATCCGAAGTTTGTCGATGAAATCAAGAACCACCCAGATCTCAGTTTTGAAGACTCCATCAAAAAGGCAGGTTATGAAACCGGAAATAATCCCTGACCTTGGCTAACTTGTGAATAGACATTTTTTGATAATCGCATTCCTGGGTTTGAACCATTTCATAATGGCACCTCTTTGAAAGCTACCGTGGAGATTGTGCGGACCAGTTTGACCCAGGCGCTCGGTATGCATGTTTGCATCTATCTCACCCGAGAGACATGATTGACTTATTTAAACAGGGTCCATCTCACTTCGGCTCTCAAAAGAGACAGGCGCGATATTGAAGGAATCCTTGCCCGCCACCGATGGTATGCCGACGCACCCCATTTGCAACCCTCTTACTGACGCTTCCTCTCTTGGTAGAATGGAAGCCCTACTACCTCGCGCATAAGATTCCGTACATGGTAGCTCGCCTCTCCTCTCTGATATTTGTCGGAGAAACCATCTCTCACGATGATGAGTGGATCGATGTTTCCGTTAACTATGCCATTGATGCGTTTATGGCTATGCGCGATCTACGAGAATGGCCATCTATTCTCCATCCGGTCGTACACTGGTTCTTGCCCTCTACCCGAAAGCTACGCACGCACTTGGGAATGGCTCGCTCCATTATAAACCGCGAGATAGACAGGCGGGCATTGATTCGCGCGGGCAAGCTCCCAGCAGACGATCCACCTCGTGGGCCTGATGCTCTGGACTGGTTTCGCGAGACCGCCGAAATCCGTAATAACTTGACCTTTGACCAGTCTTGTGCGCAGGTTGGATTGGCGCTGGCGGCCATTCATACCACATCTAACTTGTTAACTAACGTCATGTATGACCTCGCGGCGTACCCGGAGTATATCCAGCCGCTGCGTGATGAGATTTTAGCGGTTGCTGCCGAAGATGGAGTTCTGAAGAAGACGAGTTTGCTCAAGTTGAAGTTGATGGACAGTGTGATGAAGGAATCGCAGCGTACTAATCCACTCTCATTGAGTAAGTCATCCAGGTTCTTTCGATCCTCTTTCGATTTAAACCTCTTATTGACACCCCAATAGCTTCCATGAATCGCCTCGCCCTCAAGCAAATTGTGCTCTCCGATGGAACTGTGATTCCTAAAGGTGCCAACATGTTCGTCTCTACGAAAACCCTGGAAGATGACAACATCTACCCTAATGCTGGCACTTATGATGGTTACCGGTTTTACAACAAACGCCAGCAGCCCGGCAACGAACACAAGCATCAGTTTGTCGCGACGACAAGTGAGCACTTCGTCTTCGGCCATGGTGTTCACGCCTGCCCTGGTCGATTCTTTGCTGCCAATGAAACCAAGATTATGTTCCTTCATTTGCTCCTGAAGTACGATTGGAAACTGCAGAGCGGCGGTCGACCTCCGAACATTGAGAATGGTGTCGAATCTATCACCGACCCACGAGTTCAGATTTTGTTTCGGTCGCGTGAGTCGGAGGTTGACCTAAGTTTCCTAGGAGAGTGAGTATTGGGTGGATGTAAGCAGCGCATTGTTTTCCCTTTTTGTTCTATACATATTGGATATCGCTAGGTTTTCTGATTTAATCACCATGGAAATGATGTTACTTATAAGCGGTGGGACAAGCTAGATTATCGAATGTCCAATGTCCCCATTTGAATATTATCGAGTCATTTGAAAAAGGTCAAGTCCAAGTCTTCGAGGTGACCAGGCAAGACTCGGCTCCTCGAAAGTGGAGATGATTGGCATCTGGCCCACAGTTCTGCGGGTATTGTGGCTATCCATTGTAAGCGAGATGAGATCTTGTTACTAAATTGGGAATGGATCTCTGAATCGGAGAATTTAGGAACATTCACAGATCTCAATGAATGCTCAACGGGGCATAAATCACACATATACGCCGTGGCAGTGATATCAAGGAAGTCGAGGGTCTCGTTTAGGGTTCAAATATCGACAGAAATACCACGTGACAGGTAAGTATACAGTATATATACGGTAATTTTCAACAACGTGTGTTGGACGCGTCGCGCGTCAGTGGGGAAGGCTGAACGTGAAGCTTCTCCAACCGCAGCGCCTCCACCAACTCTCCCCCCAATAGGGTTATATGGGTCTTTTGGCTTGTCTCTTTCGTTGGGTCGCTCGGGCTCCAGGGCCCCAGACCGCACAATGAGAAATTGTGACCGCTGATCTACGGTACCCAGGTACCCGTACCAAGATGGTTCGGCTTTTCTTTGAAGGCGACAAACCAATTCACTCTGAAAGGAGACAAAAGAGAAAGGATTCTTACTTTTCAAGGCCCGAGCGACTCTAAGCATGATTGGAAGTCAAAAAAGAAAGAAAAATGAGCTGAAAGGTATCAGTGCAGACGACCATCAGCTGCACTTCTATACGCAGGCTGGCCGTTCTCCGTTCTGTTTGGTACGACATGCAACATACAAGCCCTTGCAGCTATGGTGTGAACGGCTGGAGACGATGTCTTGGATATGGAGCAACGATCTACCATACGGAGTACTCGGCACTGATCTCAAACACCAGCCCCTTCATTTATGAGGTCTACAACGTACAGAGTACAGCATACAGCTGACAGGCTATACATTGTACCTTTGCAATGGAAAAGAGCAAACAGCGGTCATTCGCTAGGTGTCCTTACCTCCCAAGATGGTTGTCAAAGCCCGGCCAAATTATTCGACGGTGCATGCATCAAGCAAGGCCCTGATATGCCCACCGTTCTATATAGGAAAGACTCGAGAAAATCTAAACAAAGCATAGAGAACAGAATTAGACTTGCAGACTAAAAAGAATTTCGAACAACGCATAGGATTTTCGCAGTGGGCCGTTGAACAAGTGCACAAGTACAGGGTACCACGTCCAGTAGGCTGTCCACCACGGGGAGCGCAGGTACCAAGTACCCCCCACTGCCGCACGCCTCACCCTACGCCCAATCCCCCATCCTCTTCCTCTTCCTCCTTCTCTCCCTCCCTCTCTTCCTCTCTCTCTTTACCAACCCTTTCCACCATTATCGCGAGATCTTTTCTCGCACGCTTCTTCGTTTGCGGAGACGTTCTTTTCTTTTGTGTGTTATTTTTTTTCGGGTAATGACGAAATCCTTCATTCCCTACTACTCGGACGGGATGGAGCCGCAGATGTGATCTGGTGATCCCCGATTTCAAGTTGCCGCATTCCTCAGGAAGCACACGCACACCGAGACCTCGGTTTTTTTTTTTACTTTTACTTTCGCATTACTCCTGTATCTCTTGCTCTCGTTGCATTTTTTCCTTTTTTTCTCCCCTTCACGATTCACGACATTGACGCGACGCTGCGCGCTTCGAGTCGAAGCCGCGCCGTACTCATCTACTCTCAACTCCCCCAACACGCCCTCGAATTCTTCCCAGAAGTCGCATTGACCCACTGCGATTCGCAAGATCGCGACATCGCCATCATGCCTCAACGTCAACTTTCGCGCACTCTGCCGAAGAACTTTACCTTCTCCCTCGGCGATGAACCCAGGACTCCCGAGCGCCCTCATACCGCAATGAATGTGCCTCCACCACCTCGTCACTCAATCTCCAATGGCCGCCTGCCCAGGGTTCGGGCTCGCGCTGGTACCAACGTTTGCGCTCGCATGGACATGGATATGTTCCACTTCCACGGCTCCGATGTTCCCCTGCCTTCAATTGAAGTCCCTCAATCGACTACTAACTTCGAAGCGCCTTCATTCCGTGGTTTCGCCCACGACGAGGGATATCTCGCGCCCCCTCGCGCGCGAATGGATTTTAAGACGCCACCTGCACAGATCCGCGGCACGCCTTTTGATTCCCACGACACTGGAAACCCGTGGCCTTCGTGGGACCACACTCCTGGCCCAAACAACTTTAAGCGCCCAGATTCGGCCTGCTCGAGTGTGTCTAATTCGTCAATCGAATCCATTGAAACGTTCGCATCACGACCGTCTGTAGGAAGTTTCACCAGTGTCGAGAGCGATCTGTTTGACTCGTACTTCCCTTTGGAGATGTCCAAAGAACCTGAGATTGAGTCGCCTTCGCGACCTCAGAAGCAGTCGGCGCATGTCAAAGCGTCCAAGAAGTCCTGGACTCGCGATATGGATACCCACTTATGGAATACCTATCAAATCTACCTTCAGGATCCTACTATGACTCCATTTAAGATGACACCTGGCAGTATCCCCCCTCTGGGAGTTACCTCGCGTGTTGCGCGACGCGCCAAGAAGACATGGGGACAGAAGAGCAGTCGCATTACTGAATCTGTCTCGATGCGGTCTGTTGATCCCGATGAAATTTCTACACCCAAGGCCATGGACGGAGAGTTGGAACGAGCTTGGCCCAAGTCTGACTCTAAGACTCGACGACGCCTCAAGATGCTATGTCGACGCAAATTCTCGATTTCTCCCCACTATCAGCGCATCATGCAGTCTCGCACTCCCGAGCCTGTCGCCGAAATGTTCGGCCCTGCCCCGGATACCCGCGTCAAGGACTTTGCTGATAACTCGGCCTACACTACTCGTGACCTCGGCGTTTCTCTTGTCACCTCCTCCGAGCCCACTCCACTTTCTCGGGTTACACAAGACTTGCCGTCAACGACGGACTGGTTCAACAACCCTGTGTTTGCTCATGTCGAGCCACCAGTGACCAAGACTCCTAGTCAGCATCTTCGTGTCGAATCTGCCCCTAGCATCCCTCGTCTTGGATCTCCATTCGTATACAGCACTTGGGGCCCCGGTGGATCAAACCGCCAGCTCCATGACCCTAGTGCTCGACGGGAGACCATCCATGTTCCGGGTTATCGTGCCCGACGTAACACATACTTCGATCAATCTTTGCCCAATCCTGATGATGTATTCGCAAGCGTATCCAGGCAGCAGCAGAATTCTTCCGATCGGGATGTTGAACGTCGCTTGGAGGACTATGTTCGTGACAACAAGTTCCAAGACATGGGCCATGGTCGGGTCCGCGTTCGCAATCGTGGAGCTACCACTAGCGCTGTCAATCCAAGAGATATGGACCAGCTTTTCTCTCCGCCCTCGTCCCTCAACTCAGGCCCAATTGAGCCAGAGGAGACTACACCTGTTTTAAAACCCCCCATGAACCCATTGTTAGACCTTGGCGAAAATATCAAACGCCTTGGCTCACCCTTCCGGGTCGAAGGAGGACATAAGCGTCGCGAAGCCCCGAAGCGAGTCATTAGAGCACCTGCACTGTCTGATCCATTCTCGAGTGGTGGCCCTTCATATGTCGGGCCTCATGACAACACCTCTCCAATGCAGGTTTCTCCGGCTCAAGTCCGAGATAAAGCTCCGGTTCCTTTGCCATACAATGCCTCAGAGGACGGCCTTTCTGATGCTGAGCGAATCCGCCGGCAAATCTTGAATATGCCTTTTACGCGCAACTAAGTTGCAGCCTTTTTTTGCTGTCGAATTTCCAAGTATCCGTTTCATCGTGGCGTCCATTTCTTTGCGAGATTTTATCCCCTTTGCATTATGACTTGAACGAGATACCGACAGGGCCCTGGTACAACCCTTGCATTTCCAGCATTTTTACGACAGCAACACCACCATCCACGACTGTAACGACAAGTCTGATTCACGCTCAACTCCAACGACAAAAAACACCCTAAAAAAGTGATGGGTCTTTCCCTTTTTTCATTTGATCACAACTCGCACACAGTACATCGACATCTGGCTGTTGGTTACCTGCCTACGAACATTGACCTCGTTTGTCTTGTAACAACACCTTGTGTGTAGTTCTGTTTCGCCCCTTTTACTCGAGACCAGCATTTCTCAATGCAGTTTCATCATTCCTTCACTCACCTCATTTCCTTTTCTTCCAACGGGGCTCTCACCTCGAACAAAATAACCCAACACCCCAAAAAAAGTTGAAAACAACCGAAAACCCATGTCTGCTGTCAATCAGTTATCATTCGCTATTTTCGCGACCCACGTTCCTTACATATTCTCCTTATCTTCTTTTCTCAGACCTTGTCTAGTCGTTCATCCCCTGCATTTCCTACAAGGTACAACATGCATTTCTCACCATGACATCTTGGAGATGTGGTCGACTTGATAATGGTCGCCTTCCGAATTACCCGTCACACATGGCAACGACTACCTGCATCTATGCTGACCCTTGCCAGTCAACATAGATGGCAATGCACTCCCTCAAAAAAGCGTGCAACGATACATATGCAAGTACATAGACGAACTGAAACGAAACGAACGCGCATGAATATTGCAGTTGACCAACGGCATCCCTGATACGCAAGCGAGGTGTTTGGTTTTCTTTTGCCAGCGATTCCCATTTCTTCTTAATTTGCATCTCATGATCTCAATCTTGAAGCTGATTTCCCCGTGATTTTACTTCTCGCTTGGTGATCCACGATTTACCACCATGCCCTCGATTCTCGATTTGATTTAGCTCGCACTCCATGATTCCCCTTGTGGCGAGCCTTATTGGGTTTGCATCCGGATAATCGCGTTTCTTTTTCTCCGGTCTTTTTCTTGCCTCTTCTGCGTCTCATGGCGTATGGATGTCTGTCTTTTTTTCTGCTTTTTCAGAGCCCTTTTCTGCTTGATCTTTGTGATCTTCCTCTGGAACTTGTGAGAGTTTGGCCGCTTTATCTATTCTTCTGCTGATTTATTTTTCTTATGCGAGGGTTGATCTTTTAGAGCAATGGCTTTGTTTGATCGAACTGATCCGCCAATTGAATTATCATCTTATTCCATTTTCATATATTCTTTCGGTTGTAAGTCACCGATTGCCTGGTAACTTTGTACCTGGGTTCTTGAGCAGATCCATTCTTACAAGAAGAGTTAACTAGCTGCACTTCCAGCACGGATTTTCATGTGCGTCTTGCAGGCAATTGCCAGCGAATAGACTCCCTTCATTCCTCTATCTCGCGTTCAAGGTATGCTACTAATTGTCTATGCTCTTTCATACTCGGCTTTATCAGCTATAGGTACTAACTAGATAAGCTCTAGTTTCGTCCATTTACCCTTGGTTTGTTATACTCGAAGTCACAGTTTAGCAAATAGTATATGACCTGTGAAAGTTTGAACAGAAGCGAGTAGGGACTCAAGATACTCGGACATTCAATGGATAGCTTGCCTTAATGCAATGGGGAATCAATATCAGATATTATCTACAGATCAGACAAGCATATGAACAAACAAAAGTAACCAGAATAAGGACAACGAGCAACAGGTAATATGAGCGGAAATGGGGGTATAAGTTATAAAAGATATCTGCGATGAGGCAATTCAACACAACAAGAAGCGGAACAAAAAAAAAAAAACAAAACAAACAAAATCACTTCTCCAATTTCCTCTTCCGCTCAGCAAGAAGAACCTCAATCTTGCGAATCTGAAGAGCAAGACCCTTCTTCTCGGCATTGGCAAGGAGCCACTCCTCCATGTCTTGACGAATGTGCCGCATGGAATGCAAGACAGGCAGAATAGGCACAGAGGACAGACCGTCATCGACTCCGTTCTCGCGCTCATTATGCTGCCAGCGCTCGGCACCGGGGTTGAGCAAGAGATCGAAGACACCGGCCCAGAGTTCACGATCCCAGTATCGTTTCAGAGACTCGCGGATGCGATAGTTGCGGAATGATGGGTTTCCGTTGTTGCCGTCGATAGCGGTGGATTCGATGTATTTGCCGAATAACAGCACGTGGATCACGCCAGCAATACCGTACAGATCAATATGGTAGGTCCAGGGGCGCATCTCGCGGATTTCATTGCACTCATGCGCACCGGTTTCCCAGTCCGCGATGAATTGCACGGCTGGTGAGAATGCTTGCATGTCGATGCTGCGGCCGAAGTCGATCAGTGCTAAGCCCTTCTGTCGCCAGCCGTGAGAGCCGCTTGGGGAGTAGTGGATGCTTTCCCGGGGATCGAAATCGGTTTTATCGGCGTCAAGGTCGAGCAGGGAAAGGGCCTTAGAGGGAGGTTCGTTGGGATTGTGGTCATCTAGGCGGACGAGGCAGTTGTCGGCTTTGATGTCACCATGGAGGACGCCGTTGGCGTGGAGTGCTTCGACGGTGCGGAATAGCTCAACGGAGAAGAACATTGCTAAAACCTCCTCAAGACCGCCTTCAGAAGTATGGTTGGAGTTGATGGCTTCATTGCGGACGAGGTTTACGAGGTCGAGTATGGTACCCTGTCCTCGATAGTCCTCCACTAGAAAACTTTCACGTCGGTGGACATGCAATTCGTGCGCGCGAACAATGCTATCGGTGGCGCGAGAATGATCAATGGATTGTCGTAGGCGAATATAGGCTGTGCGAATCATATAAAACTCCCACGCGCTTGATGGTCCATTTTCGACCTTGACTGCTTCGAAGGGGAATCGGGGAGTCTCATAAGCGTTCGAGTTTCTCCGTCGGGAAATTTTGCTGCTAGGGCTTGTACCATCGTCGGAGTCAGATTCGTAGGATTCAAGACTGTCAACACTTTCGGCGAGATAGACAGGGGCATATGCACCGGCTCCTAGCTCACGTCTGATAATGTAGCTTCGTTCCGCTCCTGGAAATTCGAGGATAGGCGTGTCAAATGCGCCATCCCCACCACTCTTTGATCGCCTGGTGTTGGTTTTGACGAATTTCTGTATCATCGAAGCATAGTTACTATCTTCGACGTGACCGTGATAACCCGTGTAGGTCGCAAGTGGCTTTTCCAAGGAATTGAGGATTGTGTTGCGAATACCCTTGTCAGTCGGATTGCACTGCACATCCCTGATTATCGGTTCCCGTCTCCGGAGCTTAGGCGCGAGGGCCTTGAAGGCCATGGGACTGAATGGTACATCGGCTGTAGACGCAATAGTATGATCTTCTTCGTATGGCGTATCTGTCCCCACTAGACTAGAACGAAACAAGTTACCGGCCGGTGATCGTGGCTTCGAAGGCGTTTTCGCGTTATAAATGCTGTTTCGAGCGGCTGTCAAAGAAGGAATGGATTCCGTTCGCTCCACGATAGGTGTCATAAAGGGAAGGCGATTTTGGGCCATAATTGCAGGGTCACGGTAGGTACCCCATGGAGGAGCATAATCCTCGGGCATTTCTGGAATGAATCCTTTCCTCTCCGGTGTTCCTTGTGTCGAGCTACCTTCCGCTCCATCACTAACGACAGAATGTGAGGTGACTTCATAATTTTCGATATCTGGGATATCACGGTCTGGGTTGAACTCCGTCCAATCGCTTTCATCGCCATCAACGCTCTCAGCTCGTGTGGTGTTGGCATAGTCGGTGTCATCGTAGGATTTGTGGAATGTTTGTGTCTCCTCGTCTCCAAAGTCGCTCGAGGCCGCTGATATGTGCCCTGTGCATGTACTATCTCCATTACTAGCGCAGTCGTCATCTTCGTAATCGCTACCGCAGAAGCTATCTGCGTCTGCTTCAGTCTCTGCCTTCAATGGTTGATTGAAGATGCTATATATCTCATCCGTCGCTGCACGAGTGTGCATGGTCATTGTCGGTTCCCCGGTACTCTTTCGCCGCACCTTTTTATTATTGGTCGGGGAGTCAAACTTCATTTTCACTGCACATATGTGAGTTTATTCTGCCCAAATAATGACAAACCGATAGCACTTACCTGTTTGTGTCTGTGTTGTTTCCCCTTTAATCTTAGTGCGACTCGCTTTGGGTTTGCCTCCATGGCCTTCATGTTGATAATGAGAATGACCGTGACTAGATGTAGTAAGATTCTGGCCTAAATGCTCCGGCAAGTCCTCTGGTGAATGAGATTTCCCTAGCAGGGACTCAGTACTGCTTGCGTTTCCAGAGATCTGTTGCAAGGGTTCTTTTTGTTGCCGCCAATTCTTGCCCATCCAACCACGCTTGATAGCCCTAAGCTCTTCAAAGCTCATCTCATGTGCAGGGTTGGTGCGGTCAGGGTATACGGATTCCAGGTCGACAAATACACGTTCCCGTCGGCCGGTTCGGGGGTTAATCGCTTCCCTTACGTGATGTTCGGGTAGTTCTTTTGGTGGAATTGGTTCTTTGAAAGGAAGATCTGGATTGGACTGAATACATAATAAAACACCATAGGTTCATGCCAGCAATTAGTCCTGTGATCGTAAATATGTGGAGGTCTGAAGAAGCAATGGGTAACTTGGAATGGGAACTCACCTCGTCCCTGAAGATGGCCATCTTTTGTGTTGGCGCTGCTTTCTTCCCAACCTTCAGTGTTTCTCCTGTCCATGGCTTTGGCTCCACTTCGTTCTCCTTCTTGCGGTCCCGAATCGATCCAATGCTATCCCATCCCTTTGTCGACCCACCAGTTGCGGGACCGGGCGCAGCAGAGTCAGCGTCCGAGAAAATAGCCATCTTAGGCTTTCCGGACTTGGTTTTCGCGGTACCGCCCGTCTGAGGCGAGGGCCGTGAAGCTTGTGGACCAGCAGGGGCATCTGATGGCGCGAACGGGTTCATCTTGGCGGCCAGCGCGGGACGGACAGTCGGCAAAGCAGGCGACGAGGGCCCGGTATCTTGTTGGCGTTGGTCGTATCGGAATTGAAACTCGCTGTACTTGCGTGCCAATCTCTCAACTGGTCGCGCCTCACGGTCCATGCCGAGCTTGTACACTTCATCGGCTTGTGACCACCGACCAGCACCCTCCAGCCACCCGGCAAATTCCTCATAGAAAAGAGCCAGACTTTCACCAATTTGATGACGTGCAAGGAAGGCAAATGTTTCGCGCGGGGCATCGGAGAAGAGTCGAACATAATGAAGCCATAATCGTAGATACCGAGGGTCGTTTCTGTAGTGTGATGATGAGAGGAACGACTTCGTTGCCCGTTCCAATAGGGGGAGAAGACCGGATTCGGTGGTCGCTTGTGCGGACGGATACGCGTTCAGAGTCCATTTGACATAACGGTCATAAACATCGAGCGGATCGTCCGATTCTCCTATCGACTGCAATTCACTTTCGAATTCTTGGCGCATGGCATCATTGATGGTCCTGGTGCCATTCGGCGATGGCGAGGGGATCTTGTCACCATTGCTGCCGGCTGAAAATATCCGGGCGAGTTCTCTGGCTGATCGGCCACCGGGGAGTGATTGGACGTTTTCCTTTTGTGCTTCGATGATATCGAAATCGACCAAATCATCAGAGGCTGCCATGTTAGCTACGACGACAGATAATGTGAGATCGGAGAGATCCCAAATTCCGTCGAAGACCGAAAGTTCAAAAGAGCGAGTAACAACTCTGGCGGGGCTGCAAGGAGATTGATTCTGTGGCTATCGATAAACATCACATGACTGTTACCCGGGTGACAGGTCACGTGTCCCAGACAACGTCTACTGTATCGGAACAGAGAATGGTCAAGTTAGGCTATTCAACAAGCTCGATCTATTTTATGACCACATACTTCATCTGTATTCCTGTGCGGTATTTGTGGGTCTTCAGAGTGTGTAGGGTCCCGTCTTGATCAACGAGGCTTGGCAACATCAACAACCTCTTCGGGTCTTCAATCAGGGTACCCACTCAGCTCAAGAGGCTCTACACTGTGACACTTTCAGTGCTATGTGTTGTCAGGAATCTGGATCGCCAAGGTGCGAAGACTCTGAATCTAAGGTCAGCCATAAACGGAACCTCAGCCATGGAACATCTGAGCTCTCGCCACCCAGACGATCCAAACGACAGAAATCCACTACCAATTTGAAAGAACTTTCTTCTCCAGAAGCCTCGGAGTCAGAGGCCGAAGAATTTACTCCTACAGTTAAAAACGAGGTTGACAACAAACCTCTGGTTGATACTGCCAAGGAGAAGAAAAAGAAGGCTCCAGTTAAGAAGTCCAACGAAGACGCCAAACCCAAAAAGGCGAGAAAGTCTAAGAAAGACCAAGAACTTGAGAATATGCCTCTGGCACCGCGGACTAAGGGTCTGCGTATGTTCGTCGGCGCTCATGTCAGTGCTGCAAAAGGTCAGTGTTCTCCGCATCTCATCGTCTCAATTCGGTAATAACTCAATTCTTATCGAGCAGGTGTCTTTAATTCGATATATAATACCGAAAATATCGGGTAAGTTCGAGTGTCTTCCAATTACATCCAATCATGAAATAGATTCTAATCTTGCAACTAGAGGAAATGCATTTGCCTTGTTCTTGAAGTCACAGCGCAAATGGGACAATCCAGCTCTCCCGGACGACCAGCGCGATCAATTCCGTAAACTTTGCGCAGAAAAGGGATATGATGCAACCAAGTGAATAAGCCCCATCTGATTGGACTCGAATGGGTCACTAACATCTACCCAGACACGTTCTGCCTCATGGTTCATACCTTGTCAATCTAGCCCAAAGCGATAAAGTAAAATCCAAGCAAGCATACACTTCCTTCCTGGATGATCTGCGCCGGTGCGAGGCACTTGGAATTACACTTTACAACTTCCAGTGAGTCAACCGCCTGCCAATCATATCGGCGCATACTGACGCTCTCCAGCCCCGGAAGTACCAATCAGACACCTCTACCCGAAGCACTTTCCCGGTTGGCAGAGATGTTAGTCCAAGCTATCACCGAAACGACAACCGTAGTTCCCGTCCTGGAAACAATGTGCGGTCACGGTAACACAATTGGCGGTGCACTGTCTGAATTCCGCGACTTGCTAGCTCTGATCCCGAAAGAGCACCATTCCCGCATCGGCATCTGTGTCGACACCTGCCACAGCTTTGCAGCCGGCTACGATTTGACATCCCCAGCCGGGTTCAAATCCTTCCTCGCCGAATTCGACGAGCTGATCGGAATCAAGTTCCTCCGAGCTCTGCATCTCAATGACTCAAAGGCACCGCGCGGAAGCAAGCGCGATCTGCATGCTAATATCGGCACGGGTTTCCTCGGTCTGCGCGCATTTCACAATGTCATGAACGAGCCGCGGTTTGAAGGGCTACCTATGGTCCTTGAGACGCCTATTGACCGTGTCCCGGGACAGAATGTAGCTACTGGAGACGATGCGGCTGATGGGAGTGAGAGTGAGTCTGGGAAAAAGAAACTCCCAAAGAAGGGTCCTAGGGGACCTGCTGGTGCAGGCGGAGCTGCTGTTCCTGATCAGGGTGTGTGGGCGGGTGAGATCAAACTACTTGAGTCGCTGATTGGTATGGACCCGGAGGGCGAAGAGTTCCGGGCTCTTGAGGCCCGGCTTTCGGAGGAGGGTCGTGCAGAGCGCGAGAAACATCAGGAGCAATATGAGCGTAAGCTCGAAGCGGACGAGAAAAAGAAGGCGAAGGGACCAGGAAAGGCCAAGGGACAGAAGAGTCTTATGGACATGATGAAGAGTGGCGCTGCGAAGGAGTAGACATATATTCTTTTTTGAACGCAGAGCAGAGGGGTGGCAATGCGATGAGGAATACTTGCTGGGTGTCCCTGTGCTTTCTACATCATCCCGAGGACTATATAATAATGAAGGATATAATCACTACAACACTCTCAGGGTTTCAAAATACAAACCGCCAAAATGTAGCCCTTATAATAGCTGTTGAAAGTAGAAGAGTCGATTCAATTGATGGTATCAGTTAAGCCAAAGCCAAAATCCGCACAAGCCCCTTCATGCAAATAGAAATAGGAAATTGTGTTCCGGTCAATCAAGAGTTCGACCAATTCATATCTGCGAAAGTAGACATAGACATGCGATTCCAAGAGCCACTAGGTTCTCCTCGAGTAGGTCACAGACCCTCCAACAACGAAGAGAGTATAGGTGACATAAAAAAAAACAATCACATGCATGTGCAATATAGGTAAATGAAGATAGGAGAGGGGTAGTTAAGAATGAGTGTGAAATGCTAGTGCTGGGGGACATTTTGATCCCGAATTGGCGAAACAGACGAGCTCGATTGCAGGCCCGGCGACGCTTGGCGAGCAGGGGCATGCAAGTGGGGAAACCCTGCCTCGGCCATTGTAGTGATAGTCGCAGGTGCTGATTTAAGAGAAGGACCATCGTTTTCTAGAATAATAGAAGTCGATATTGAGAGACCACGCCTGGCACCACTGGAACGTACCCGGGCTGATGATGATTGGTGATCATCGTTAAGGTAACTACCCGGTGCAGGGCTAATGATCCTGGAGTCCGGATAGGCAATTTGACGATAATCCCCGGGATCGCCAGTGCTATGCTCACCTTCGTCGGTGTCAGATGCAGGACTGGACTCGCGACTCCAATCATCTTCCGGGAGCTCGTTGCGCATTCCTGAAATTTTCATGTAATTGTACGCTGCAATGCTGCTGATAGTGACGACCAAACCGGTCACATTGACGGTTGTGAGCTTATCGTGGAAGATAATGCCCGCGGCGCTGATTGTGACTACTTCCTTGAAGATACCGCAAATACTGAGGGTAACAACCGAGGAGCGCTTTAGAAGCGCGAACTCGGATGAAATCATGCAGAATGCAAGTACTCCAGGGAAAATCAGAAGGAACGAACCAAATAGGTTCCCATGTTTGCTGGCGAGCGCGAGGTATCCTTGGTAAATCTCACGAGGACCCTCAATAGATAGCGCGATGGTGATGAGTGAAAGGAACATGATAGGAGTCAGGAGAAAGAGAGTTGAGAATGGATTGGAAGTAGCCGGGTGGCGAAGCAGCAGAATTTGTGTCAGACCCCATCGGAAGCCCGAAAAGAACGCGGAGGCAATGACAAGTGCGAAGCCCAGCGCATTGAAAGCTGTCTCTCCAGCGACCATCATCACGACACCTACTGTCATGGTGGCAATGATGATGATTAATTTTGTCGAAGGTGTTTCGAGACGGAAAAGGAAGGCGAATAACAGGACGAAGGCAAGTGCAGACGATTTGCACATGGTTAAAAAAGTCAGAGAGATGAACTTCAAGGACATGTTTCCGAGACCAACGTCAAGCGACGTTGCTGCACCGCACGGAACGAGGCGAGTGAAGTAGAATAATCTGGAAACGAGGGGTTGTGGTTCCTCGGGGCCATCGATGGGAGATGTAGCCGCAGACCCTACCGGTCGTCGCGGACGGAGCGATGGAAAGATCCAGAGTATTATAGAGGAGAGAGAGAATTGGACAACCATGTGTAAGCTCGTTGTGAAAAGAGGGAAAGGGAAGACGACATCATTCTCGGAGAACATCCATTTGTTGTACTGCAAACATGACAGTTGTTAGTTTCCTTCTTGACTTCCAAATATACTGGAAAGAACCACTCACTATTGAAATGGACAGTGAGAAGAGATACCATAGCAAGATCAGCCCGCCGTTGATTAACAGCTTCTTGACCACATTTCTGTCCGACAGAATCTCACGAATAGTACCATGGCTCTTGACGTCCGCGATTCTAGCATCCAACTTGCGGCGCTGCTTTCGCCGTCGACGTCGCTGGCGTTTTTGATGTGTTGTGAGTCCGGTTTCCTCGTCATATTGGTCATCATCCGAACTCATCGGGTCCAACTCCAGAGTCTCTGCAGCGGATAAGACATCGGACGCATCGGTATCCTCTTCGGCGGTCAGAGGTTCTTGTTCTTCGCGTTTGTGACTTCCCCCGTCTCCATGCGACCAGAGTGTGTCATTGCGCTCTGTCGAAATCGGTTGTGAGGCTCGCCCTGTCCCGGTAACCATGGAGCTTCGCCGACGGTGGTGGGCGCCGTCGGAGAGCCCCATTTTAATGACTGGGACAGTTACGAGGTATAAAATGAAAGAGAGGAATCGAGATGTATCTCCATTAACGTGGGAATAAAGTGTGTCACACGACAGTACACGAGGGCGAAAAGCCTCGGGGGGGTAGGGGAGTATTGCTGACAAAGAAACAAAGAGGGGAGGATCCGAAGGGAAGAAGTTAATTTGAAAGGAAGATCCAAGTGAGAGCTCAAACCAAAAGGAAAATAGAATGAAAAGGAATGAAAATGAGGGAAATGGCCAAAAGTGAAGTCCACAGGGAAATTCAGAGGAATGGCAAAAATCGAGAAAGTGAAGGGCGGTGATGTTTCTCTTTTCGCTCTTCTTCTCCTTTCTCGCTCCTTTCCCTCCTTTCCTTCAACAACAATTCCTCTCATTGGTTACACTTTCTATATCGGTCTCCACTGCCCGGTCGATCCGGGGTCAAGGGGGGAAAAAGAATATCGAGATGGATTTGGATATTTCAGATATTTCGATTATTTCCGATATTTCCGATCTTGACTGCTTCGAGTGGTCTGAGTGGTCGGAGAGCTCTGAGAGATCTTCTCTGGTTTCGATTCTCATTAGTGGACCGAAACCTCCGGCCTTGACTTGCGAGCTGTGAATGAAAGCCCAACATCCACAAACACTTCACTTGCCGCGGTGGCCTCGGATTGACATAGTTCGTTGGTGACGGGAAAGGCTGGGCTTTCAGTCTCAATATGAGTCTCTTTGAGAAACGGCAATCGGTCTCTCGTCGAGCTCATCAAGTTTGTCTCCTATGAAAAAGAAGAAGCCCTAATCCACCCAGCATAGCCATGACCTCAGATTCAACCATTATCATCATCATGTCGTGTCTCGGGAATAATATATGTCGGAGGATGCGGATCGCAAGTGACAACGGGGGGCATTGCATCTACCTCTGCTTTCATCTTCTTCATCTTCATCTTATTCTCTTCCATCTTCTTTAGGTTGATGCTGCAAAACAGCATTTGATCTTCATCAAAAACTTCACCAGTCTTCTGAACTTGCATCAGATCTCTTAGATATTTCGCTCGCATTGCCATCATGACTGAACCTGCGTACAATGCCATTGAGGACTATGGCCTGGTCGGGGACATGCACACCTGTGCCCTGGTCAGCAAGGCCGGTAGTTTGGATTACATGTGCTGGCCAGTCTTTGACTCTCCTACCGTTTTCTGTCGTCTGCTGGACAACCAGAAAGGAGGCTTCTTCGCCGTGAAGCCCTACAAGACGGTAGTAGATGCTCACAGCAAGCAGCGGTATCTTCCATACTCGAACCTGCTTGAAACCAGGTGGACTGATGAGGATGGCGTCGCGACGCTGCTGGACTACTTTCCTGTCACACCTAAAAAGACGGCGCAGTCGTCCCGGTTGTTGTCAGGATACTGTCCTTGCAATGAACCGGGAACCAATCGCTTCAAGTCAGGACTGCAGCACTCGGGCCTGATCAGAAAGCTGGAGTGTAGCCGTGGCTCAATGGAATTGAAAGTGGAGTTATTCCCTGCTTTTAATTATGCACGAGACTCGCACAATACCCGTGCAAAGCTAGAAGACGACTTGGACAAGCACCGGCTGCAGACTGTCCACTTCGAGAGTGAGACAGAGCGGCTGCAACTCGAGATCTTTGCCGATTCACGGGAGCCAGATAAGCTTGGTTTCCCCTCGGCGTCTTTGAAACTGGAAGAACGAGAGGGCCTCCGTGGCCGCGGATTGGTGGCCTGGATCCGTTTGTCGGCGGGCCAGACCCTTCATCTGGTGTTGCATAGTCCCGAGAAGGCTGTCCCCAGCTCGGCCACCATGGCAGCCTACCTCGCGCGAATGGAGGAGGAAACTTCCGACTATTGGACCGATTGGACACGCAAGTGTGCCTTCCGTGGTCATTACCGAGAGACAGTCGAGCGCAGTCTCCTAATTCTGAAGCTGTTGACCTACAAACCCACGGGTGCAATTGTCGCTGCGCCCACGTTCTCGCTTCCCGAAAATGTTGGAGGCTCCAGAAACTGGGATTATCGATATTCCTGGGTCCGTGACACAGCCTTCACGCTATATGTCTTTCTCAAAATGGGCTACAGCGAAGAAGCGGAAGCGTATGTCAACTTCATCTTCGAGCGGGTTTTCCCGCATGCTTGCCAAGATCAGGAACCCAACAGCAAAAGGCCCTTCTTGCCGCTGATGTTCACTATCCGAGGTGAGTACGACATTCCCGAGATGGAATTGGACCACCTCGATGGGTACAAAGGCAGCAAACCTGTTCGCATTGGCAATGCTGCCGTTTTCCACACGCAGCTGGACATCTACGGTGAATTGTTGGACAGTATCTACCTGTGTAACAAGCACGGAAACCCCATCACCTATGACCAATGGAACGCTATCCGGCGAATGATTAACTATGTCATCGGTGTTCGGAACCAGAAGGATATGTCCATTTGGGAATCGCGTGGTCAGATCCAAAACTTTATCTATTCGAAGATTATGATGTGGGTAGCCCTGGATCGTGGAATCCGCCTTGCGGAGAAGCGTGCTAGCCTACCATGCCCGGATCGCTTTGAATGGATCCGGGTCCGTGACGAGATGTACGACGAAATCATGACCAAAGGGTACAACGAAGAGCGTGGTCATTTCTGCCAGAGTTATGAGAGTCGCGAGGTCTTGGATGCGTCCATCTTGATTGCACCCTTGGTATTCTTCGTAGCGCCCAATGATCCGCGGTTCATCAGCACGCTGAAGAAGATTTTGCAAAGCCCCGAGAAGGAGGGTCTGTCCAGCGCCAAGATGGTGTTCCGATATGACCACAAGAAAGCCAACGACGGTAGGTATCGCTTGTCTATTAGAACTCTACAACAAGTGCTGATACTCGCGTTTCACAGGTATGACAGGGGGTGAGGGTGCCTTCATCATGGTAACCTTCTGGCTTGTCGAAGCCATGGCTCGTGTAGGTTCTATGGAACTACCTAAAAAAGCAACACTGAACTATGCTAACCTGAACTGAATCTGGAAATACAGGCTGCCAAATATGATGTGGCCATTCCAAACATCTGGAAACTCGCACTTGCGCACTTCGATAACATCCTGTCCTACGCGAATCACCTGGGCATGTTTTCTGAAGAAGTGGCCATTTCTGGTGAGCAGATGGGCAACTCTCCACAGGCCTTCAGCCACCTGGCTTGTATTAGCGCTGCAATCAATCTGGGAAGAAGTGGACGAATCGGCGAATAGAGTCATCTCTCTCAGTGGCAACAACGATAGACTAACTATAATACTGTTGTTTTTGAACCCCAAAATTTGTTTGATGCAATTCTATAATTTTCTGCTTACAGATAGAAAAAAAATACAACTTTGTGCCTTTTTGTCCAACACTCCGTACATATGTAGGCAATGTAGGCAATGTAGCAAATATAGATCATCGGCCTAGGCCAGCCTGGAGGTGAAGACAAATGCTTACATAATGGACTAGATGATCACACGGGAGCTCCAGGGCCGGTGGCTACCCCAGATTCTCTTTGTTCATCATCTTTGACTGTCTTTGTTCAAGACAAACATATCCAAACAAAGGAACTGCTAGGGTGCTGTTATCTTCAGCTTCTAGCTGGAGATGTTCTTCGCCACCGACCCTTTGTGCCTTATTACCTCCGTGAGCGCGTACAGGGATCCCCACCTGTCTAATGGCAGGCGCCAGCTTGGATTGGGCTGATAAGCCTAACGCCGATTTTGCCTTGTCATCGGATGAAGAGGAATTTGTTTCCAGCCCAAGCACTGCTTCAAGGGAGCTTGAAGGCCCTGCCAAGCAAAATTTGACGCTGGCTTTGGGGAAGTTGCACTTGGAGCAAGAGGACTTGAATCAATCCTCTGGACAGGACTCGACTCCAACAACACCCCACATGGAAGGCCTAATTCAAACCCCCCCAGAACTTGAAATGGCCAAAAAGCCTCTGCAGCTACTGGACTTACCTTTGGATATTTTAAAGGAGATTATCAAAGAGGTAACACTGGTCTTCCCCGCAGATCATGAATAGATAGCTTACAGTTCTGGTGTACCATAGGTGACCCATACGACTGATCTGACCTCGCTCGCTCTTACATGCTCCTCTCTTCATTTCTTAGCCATTCCGCACATGTACTCCCGTTTCGACATCGTCTGGCCCGAGTCGCTGAACCCATCAACGGATGACTACTCGGGGGTGGACGCTCTGTCTTATGGTTTGTCCACATTGGTCATGGGCGAGGATGTATTTAATCAGCCGGCGCTGTTTCAATCTGACAAGGTCAAAAATAGCTGCGTGAATTGCGGTTGCAATAAGCCTCATCCTCAGCCCGACCCGGACCCTGGGGACAACGGAGATCGCCTCCGGTCGCGACGAGGCAATCATTATGCACAGTATACCCGCACATTCTCTATTGGAAATGGCCCGCTCAGTTGGGTACAAGAATACTCGGTGACCAAAGAAGTGGGCAAGATGCTAGGGACGCTAGTCGCTTTAGCAGTTGCACGGATGGTGAATCTCGAAGCCTTCGTTTGGGACATGCCGACTGGAGTGGTACGTGAAATTTGGCTCGCGCTTGCGTCGTTGGCAGATAGACCAGGACACGATTGTCGCCTGGAGCGCATTTGGGTGCGCTGGCATGACAATTCGGAGAATGCTCTACGCAGTTCATCGGCGGCGGCAACGAGGCTCTTTCAGAAATACAAACACGTGGAACATCCCTCCTTGTCAGTACTACCTCCACTCAAGAATGTGACTGTTCTTGACATAGATGAACCCGCTTATGTGGAAGAACTGGCAATTCTCATTGAGCGGTCACGTTTCCGTCTGTCCGAACTCCGCATTGGTATTGCCGAAAAGGCCCATATGAGTCCGTGGCTGTTGTGTGGGAAGGACTCTGATGGCTCAACGAATTGGCCTAGAGCTGATGGTGTACTTGGCATCTTATCGCGGCGGCACCTTGACAAAAAACAGGATAATGCTATAGTTTCCTCCCTTGAAGATAAATCGATGCCCTCTGACGAATCGATAAACAAGTCACTAAAATCTACCGAAATTGCGGCTCCATTGACTCCAAATAGCGAGGAGCAGCCTCCCAGCACCACCAAGGACAAGAAGTCCCCACCAAGCTCTGGTTTGTCCAACCGGAGCGCCCGCTCACAGCCACCTCCCTACAAATCCGACTATGAGATACTTCATCTCAAAGTACTCGAGCTAGAACGCGTACCTCTTTCTGTGCCAACCCTACTGCCAGCCGTTGACTGGACTGGATTGACTACTCTCACTATCATGCGATGCGATGATCATGAAAAGCTCTGGAGGGCTCTCCGTCGGAAGTATGCTCCTCCTGCGACGCCGGCAAAACGCCCACATGATGCAGAGCGTCGAACAAACGCCAGCTCAGTTGAATATCCACTAAATTTGAAACATATTCGCACGGACACTGTTTCGCCTTATCTTATACTGTTCATCAAAGATGCGCTGGCTCCGAATACCCTGGAGAGTGTGTATTTGCATGAAGCCCCAGGTCATGAATCTGCTGTGCATATCGACGCTATTTACAAGCACATTCTGCGAAAGCACAGGCGGAGTCTGCGAAAGGTGTTGATTGACGCCACTGACCGTATAATCGGCGCTGGATATTCAGGCATACGATGGCACAAGTGGATGTTCACCCACGATATGGTATCATTTGTCACAAGTGGAAAGATGCCGCAGCTGAAAGAGCTGGGAATAGCGATGCATTATCGCGATTGGGTAAGAAAACGATCACCAGCATTGGATACTTTGATCACACCTGGGGGCTTGTGCTTGTGCTAATGATGATTCTGCAGCATTTCTTCCTCCAGAGATTGCCAAACATGCCCCAGCTTCATGCTTTGTATCTACCACACATTCATCATAGTGTCCATCGGGACTTGAAAGAGCTTGCGCTGCAAGTCTTGGACATCGTCAGCATACGTCCAGATTTGAAGATCGCCTACATTGGTCTCCACATCAAATGCTACCAAATCCTTGAAGCAAGACATGACGATAACCCACTAGATTTCGACGACAACCCCGCGATTGAACATTCCCCGGAGCTTAGTGAAGATGAGGATGAAGGGTGGGCCAACCCCAATCACGATTCTGAAGGAGACAGCGATGATTCCGACGATGCCTCGGGGGCAGCTGACACAGACCTCCTTTCCAGTGACCCGGACGACTACGACACTGAACCTGACGAAGAACAGGGTGATTCGCGGATTCGTTACCGGCTACAGGAGATTCTATTCTACGACGAGAAGGTATCAATTTTCAAGGCGCGTCATGGTGTTTTATGATCTCATCTTGGCTTGCATTCTATATCAGGAGTTGTCCGGACCATTTGCGGCGTTTAAAGGGGTACAGAGAGTTTGCACCTACGAACAGGAGATACCATGGCTTTTTAGCTTAGCACTAAGGTTATTTGTTAACCTCGGAATGACACGTTATTTTGAGTTAAGGTTGTGCTGAGTGGGCCACTCTAAGTGGGTCAAAGTGGTACATAGCGGATTCCAATAAATCGGGTGTAGTACATCGTCAAATTAGAAATACACTTTGCTAAGTTCGTTTCGCTGGGACTTTCGCTCTTGGTTCGTGATAGCGTTTCTTCGTGCAAAAAATCCTCCATCGCGAAAAGAATGGTAAGTCACATGACATGGACTGAATTATCTTGGCTTCTCAATATTGACGCTTGTACTTTTCTCTTAGGAGAGAGCTAAACAAGTGTGGCTCCTCGGGGAATCATATCAACTTAGCGAATTGGATGGCCTTGTGCCGGCCATAGTTCATTCAAATTTCTGCCCTATCAACTTTCGATGGTAGGATGGTGGCTTACCATGGTGGCAACGAGCAACTGGAAATTAATTCCGGACAGGGAGCCCGAGAAACGCTGCAACTACATTGGCGCTGTTCACTTCCTAGCAACACGGCCAGCTATGACCGGTCTCGAAAATGTTGTCACATTTCGATGATTTCGAGGCGGACAGACCCCCACATATCAGAACATTTTGGCAGTCTCGCAACAGTCGTTACCGAAGTACTTCATCAACATAGGATCAGAGGTTCCCCCGGACTTTTCAGCTTTCGCGGATGTCGGCTCGGGTCTTCGCCACGCTGGGCAAGTACCGGGTTGATAATCAATTATTTGCTCACTCATGCAAGTCATAATATCGTAGAATTTCCTTATTTATGCTAAGGTAAAACCATGGGTATCTGAGAGAGAGCGCTAGTGTTCAATTGTTATATACATGGCGGGACAGATTCGTTCATGCAAACTCCCGGTGTGCGTTCTCATACTGGGCACGAATCAGCTCGTTCTCGATCACACGTCTCTTAGCCTTTTCTTCTTCGCTAGAATTGTCTTTGAACACATGGTCCATCTGCTCGAGGGTTCGGCCCTTGGTTTCTGGCACAAAGAAGTAAGTCCACATTCCGGCGAGTAAGCAAAAGACGGCGAAGAAGATGTAAGCACCGTAGCCGGTGTCTTGGACGAGAGGCGGGGTGATGAGACCCTACAGAGATAATCAGTATGCTTGACACACCGAGCGACCGAATAATGGTAGCGAGAAACTTACAATGATGAAGTTGTTGAGCCAGTTGGAGCAAGTTGAAAGCGCAACGCCCTTAGCACGAAGGGAAGAAGGGAAGATTTCTAGAACTGTCAGATTGATGCTTGTCTAACACCATAAGAGAATAAAGATACGTACCGGAAGGCAGTGCCCACGGGATAGGACCCCAGGAAGCTCCGAAGGCAAGCATATAAAAGAGTAGGAAGGCCACACTGGTCCACCCTTCTGCTTTGTGGGACGGCCAATCATCCGAGTAAATTCCAACCAACGCAGCAATAACAATGTGTGATATGGCCATCAGGGCTGCGCCACCTAGAAGCAACTTGCGACGACCGACGACGTCCATAGTCCAGATACTGGTAGTGACACCCACCAACTGTACAACGTTGAGAACGCCGGACATGATAAGTTGCATGCTTGTGTCGAGACCCATCGTGGCAAAGAGAGTTGGGGAGTAGTAAATAAGAGCGTTGATACCGATGAACTATCCATATGATTAGCATGTGTCGGTTATCTCCACGTACATAGAACTCACCTGTTGGAAGAATCCGAGTCCGACACCGATGTGGGTACGACGCCAGCAGCCCTTTTTGAAGCAATCGGCCCACGACGAAATCTCCTGCAGAATGGAGTTCTTTGTGCCACCACCTTGTAACTCTGGATGCTTTTCCCGGTTCATTTGCTGGTGGAAGCGCACTTCGGCCTGGATATCCATAAGCTCCTGACGAACGCGTCTGTCGGAAGGTGGCAGGCAACGAAGTCTGCACAGACTGTCGAGAGCTTCCTCATCGCGACCCTTTGAAGCTAGCCAGCGAGGCGAGAACGGAAGAGCGTATACACCGGCAGCGAGGATAAAGCCCGGGATCATTTGGAGCAGGAAAGGAAGACGCCAGGCCCATTCACCGTCCATGTATCGTGTGGCATAGGTAATCCAAAAGGCAATGACAATTCCGAGGACGATACACCATTCTTCCATAACCAAGAGGGTACCACGACATTCGGGGGGACCTAATAGGAGAGACCGGAATAAGTATTCATGTCATATGTGTGTGAGGAAGGGGAAAAAAAAGAAATCACATACTGATTTCGGAGATGTACAATGGTGCAACCATCGACAACATTCCGATTCCGAGGCCACCTATCAGCCGGGCCACCGTCAACATGGGATAACTGATGGCAGCAGTCTGAAGGACAGAGCCAACAGTAAAGATAGCAACAGCGACGAGAATCGAATACCGCCGCGAGATCTTATCCGCAATCCAGCCCTGATTGAGAGCACCAATCAAAGCGCCCAGCTCAATCATGGCCGTCAACAATCCCTTCGCAAATCCCGAGCCCGGGTTATGCTCATCTATCCGCGGGAATTCCGTCAGGAACTGGTCCATGACCAGAATCACCGACACAACACCTTGATCATAACCAAAAAGTAAACCACCTAGCGTTGAGCAGGCGGCACACAAGACCACGAATGGGCTGGCAACCAGACCGCGCAGACCGGGTGGGCCATAGGGCTCGCGGTCTGAGTTAATGTCGTCGGCATGGTGAGAGAAGCCCTCTACCACTGGTTCATCGGATAGATCTTTCTTAGGAATATCATCAGTCATTTTGAATGGAAACTGGAAGAAACTTGAAGAAACTTGAAGGTTATGTTTCTTTGAAGCGGAAGAACGCTCTGCTATTCAAACTCTACCCGGAGGCATTCCGGCGATATTTATACCCATTTCCCCCAATAACCTAACCGGGGTAGTGTACAAGGTCGGTTCCCTCCGTATATCGGGACCTATAGGAAGTCTGGGGGGGTCCCCGGTCCAAAAGGCCAATGAGACAAAGGCGTGATAACCAAGTTGGGGTAGATGACGGAGTGCTAGACGGTTCGGCCAGCGGGTTTGGGGAAGATCGGCGCTATAGGATTGTGGGGAAAACACGGAGAAGAGAAATAATAGCACGTCGTCAATTGGTGGCGGCTATTGGCATGGTACAAGGACGCTTGTCTTCCTCTGAGCCTATACTCGGCCTTTGACAGATAGACTTCTCTCAGCCCCAGAACCATTCTTGGGCTTGGCCAGACCGAGACATCTTGCATACGGAATCGGCATAGACCAAGGAGTCATAGGGCATACTCCGTACAGCCGATTTGCTCTAGGTCCTGTTCTATTAGATTGATAAGCTTATACAGTCTTTCGTATTCGTGTCTATAGGTATAGCTAGTTCATACACACTCGGGCATTCAACCAAAGATCGCCATCACCTATCACATGGAATGTTCTGGACAATACCAGCATCGAAGGTATACCGTATAACCGAGCCCTAACACCCTCGGGCCGGACATCACTCGGAAAGTCAAGTGACTTGTGAGCCGATCTTATCCCGTGATGGTAGTTAGTGTCGTGTGAGACAGTAAGACATAGGCATGATAGGATCCTTTGGATGAATCGCGACACTAGGTATAATAGTAGAATCCCTGTGATACCTTGTCAATATCAAACCAGATACCCCACGGGGAAAAAAAGAGGAGAACAGGCTTTCCAACATCTACAATCTAGCTCTTTTTGATAGAAAATCGGAATTCGTTGTCCACTTTCCAACCTGAGCGGTGTCCATTGCGGTAACCATTTTCCCCCCTGCGGATTCCAGTTCCCGACTTCTCCCCCGCCACTCCCAACCTGCAACCTTCGGACTTCCCACTTCACTTTGAAATCATGGCTTCCTTCATGGAAGACCTGTGGTCGAGCATCTTTACCCCAGGACCCACTCCAACCCTTTTGATTGCGACCAACGTCACTTTCGCCGCACTCCAGCTTATCTTCCTTGTCCTCCTCTTAGCCACCTACAGCCTCCATTTCGTCGCCCTGTCCATCATCAGCGGTGGACTATGGTGGTCCATCAACTGGTTCGCTGCCGAGGTTCGACTGGCCCAGCAGGCGCAGGAAGCGGAGAAAGAAAAACAAGGGTCGGAGGGTGACGCGAAAACGCGGAAGAGTCCCGCTGTAAGAGAAAGCGCCGACAGCGAAACTGAAACCGAAGTCCTTGTCGCTAGGAAGACAGACGATAAGTCTGCTCCTGTCGCGACTGGGAGTGCAACGTCCGGGTTGATGCCCACGGCGCGCGATCCTAAGAAGCGGCTCAGCACTGGGGATGGGTCGGGCTATGGGAGCACTGATAGCGAGTGGGAGAAGGTTGATGATACTCAATCTTGAGTGATATGTGGTACTCAAGGATACACACTTGCTTCGGGATATTTACACTCGCCTCGGTGGAACACTGTTGCACACTGCACGCTCACCCAGGCCCCGGACATCTCGACGAATACGTAGGACGCGTTCATGGTGATACAATCCAGTGTCGACCTTCCGTGTACCTTGGCTGGGATTTGGATTTGATTTTGGATTTGATTATGGATTTGGATTCGTATATACGCAATGCCCTCTTGTCTGTTTGTTTCGGAGCGATACCCCATACTATGTAGATGGTGCAATTTACAGCAGCTCGTGCTTGGTTTTGATTTTGCTAGGAGCGTGATATCCTTCTTCTCTCTGAACACATTCATTAACAATAACATTCAAAACATCCCATCCACTCGTACTTCATACAAAACAAAGTAAACAGAACCGGTGGAGCTGAATCTTTAGAAAGCATCCACGTGACCTTCCCCCAGCCAAACAATGAAATCCGTCGCAACATAACATAGGCAACCATCACCATCGAACACGATCGCAGCAGCAACCAGACACACTAGCTGCATCCCACCATGTCCGATGTCCCTTGATCAAAATGCTCTCCACCGTACCCCTCAATGTGGGACGTAGGCGCGTCTGCGGCTCCGTCTTCTCCCCCGCGGCTCTCGAAGCTCATCCGTCGAACACGACCGCGGATTCCCAACGCGAACAGACACCAGTCGCATCCTTCCGAGAATCAACCGATTCCTCGTCAACCTTCAAAACAGACTCGCAATCAACCTCATTCGCGACGATTGGGGGATTGACGGACGCTGCATCCCCAGAGGAAGACACATTAAACCAGGCGCGGCAGACGGTAAAAGAGTTTCTATCTGTGCCCAACCTGGGCTTTGAATTGCTTTACAGCTTCCGGAATACCGATGGAAGTCAGGCGTTGAAAGAATGGAACCGGCTCAGCCCTCCGTCGAAGGAGACGACCGAGGCTTTGGAGTATCTTATGCGAACCTCTCCATGGACATTGTTCGAATGGTACGGGAATGATATTCGAAGGCATTTTCTAGTCAATTTCCGGACTGGCCTGTCTAAGGTATGGACGTTATATGTCGTTTTGAATTCAATTGGTCTGTCTGTGCTAACGGTCTTATAGATGTTAAATTCCACGGGGGAAGAAGACCTGCTCCGAACAATCGTGGACTGCTTACAGCTTGCGCGTCAAATTTATCTCGCTCCCGTCGTGCACTATCTACTTCCGTTAATAGCTACTCACCACCAAGGAGGAGGGCAATTGGCTCAACTACAGCGTGCCTTTCATACAGTAGTTCAATACAGCCTACCATGGAAGAAGATTTCACCGCTTCTGGCCAGAGAGCTTACGCGAGATGCCGCGGTTATCTTAGGCATCGATGCCCTGGACGAAGATTCCGATGCGGACAGAATGAGTCTCGATGGAACGGAGATGGAAAGAGCATACTCTGTCTCGTACAAAGAGTGGAGGCAAGAATCACCCGAAGCCCAACTACACATGATGGTCGAGGGTGAAGATGACTGTGTGACCTTTACACGGGATCGGCTCTTGGCGTTTCTCGACGGCTTGCAGCTTGTCGGACTTGGTGGTGACCAGGCCCAGAAGGTGTTCGCCAATGTGATGAACATCATGATGGGAGACTTCATTCGTGCTGCATATGCCGGCGAATGGCAGTCGCCTTCAACTGCGCCACAGCACTTGGAGCAATGGGTTGAAAATGTCTATGCACGGCTCGCTGCGCAGGTTCTAGCCATCATCCATTCTGATCCCGCTGGAACCCAATCCGGGGCCATGGAAGTGAGCTTGAGGGACGTGGAGAAGTGGCGAGCAATGGGTATCGCTCGGCTGGGCAAGCTTCGAGTCAGCGAGCTTTTCGACGTGGTTGTTGATTGGCCCGTAAGCGGCGGGGCGGTGGAGGATCTGCGACGCTTCACAAACAACTCGTCTGGAGCACGCATGTATGTGACGCATTTCTTTTCTATTAACTTGCTCCAGCGTTTGTTGCATCCCGGTGCTTCTACAGTCGAGATTTTGCAGGTTTACATCTCAATCATTCGAGCATTCCATATTTTGGACCCCAAGGGTGTTCTACTAGATCGCATCGCTCGACCGATCCGGCGGTACTTGAGAGACCGCGATGACACCGTCAAGGTGATTGTTAGTGGTCTATTGGCGGACCCCGCGACAGCCGACGGACCGACAGCTACCGGCGACAACTTGGCAGAACTGGCGGCAGAGCTAAGCAAGGTCCACCAGCATTCTATGCAAAACAACAGGAGCGAGCTAGACTATGACGATTTATACTGGTTGCCCGATCCAGTTGATGCCGCTCCCGACTACAGGAAATCGAAGAGTGCAGATGTCATTGACAGTCTTGTTAGCTTATTCGACTCCAAGGAGACCTTTGTGAAGGAAATGCAGACTCTCCTCGCAGACCGCCTCATCCAAAAACGCCAGAACTACGACCAAGAAATTACAGTACTAGAGCTCCTGAAGATCCGATTCGGCGATTCGGCACTACAGGCATGCGAGGTGATGCTGAAAGATATTTCCGACTCGCGGCGTCTCGACCTCACCGTGCGGAATGACCAGATATTGTCTGGATATCGTAAGCAAGCAGGTGTCGGAAAACTCCACGCCAAGGTTCTGTCACGCTTCTTCTGGCCGGAGTTCCAAGAGCAAGAATTCAAGGTCCCCGACGAAATCACCAAACTGCAAGAGCGGTACGCGACCTGCTTCGAAAAGCGCAAGGATTCGCGCAAGCTCAAATGGCGCAACGGCCTGGGTCAGGTCACCGTCGAGCTAGAGCTAGAGAACCACACTTTCACAGACGAAGTGACAACCTGGCAAGCAACCGTAATCTATGCCTTCCAGTCTGACTCGAGCGAACCCGCCACAAGAACAATTCCGGAACTCGCCGAGGAGCTCGAAATGACAGTTCCCCTAGTACGCAGTGCCTGTCTCTTCTGGGTTAGCAAGCGCATTCTCACTGAAGTACACCGCGACACCTTCCGCGTGTTGGAAATCCTCCCCACGGAAGACGAGGAACACCATGCGCACGGAACGGGCGACTATAGCGACGGCTCAGACAGCGAAGCAGGCGACACGGCCAATGCAGCGGCAGCCGCCGAAGCAGCAGCCGCCGCCGCAGCGAAGGAATCCACCGAGGCAGCTGCCATGGAGAAAATGAATGTGCATTGGCAGTTTATCGTAGGCATGCTCACGAATCAAGGGCCTATGGCTCTGAATCGTATTGTCATGATGCTGAAGATAGCTGTTCCTGGCGGGTTCCCGTTCAGCAACGAGGAGTTGCGCGAGTTTTTGAGTGGTATGGTTTCGAAGGGCAAATTGGAGATTGTAAACGGGGGGAATTATAAGATCGTTCATTAACATGGGCAACGGGGCGTCGCATGCGAGCTTTTTTATCTTTGGCGTTGCTGGAACCGATGTACGGAATACCCATTAAAGAATACATGTATGATTTACGAGTGATAGATTACCTCAATTAGGTAGATCCAAGCCGTGGAGTATCTAGTCTTTCTCTAACGCGCCCCTTTTTCTTGTCTACATGCAACATGTTAGTGAAGTTACTGTTCTGGCATGAGATATATATAGACGAGCCCCACCACCTCCCCGCCTACACAAACCCCACCAAAGCCCAATCCCAAACATCTCAGAGAAGGAAGAAAAAGAAGAAAAAGGTATCATTTCAAATCTATAAGCCACGACCTAACCAAAGCGAGCATCATTCCGCATCCAAAAGCGCAACAGGAACCTGATTATCAACCTGGATGCCACCGCGCTTCTTCTCATCACTATCCCAGAAGGGCAACTTCCAGCCACCCTCACTCTCAGGCGTCGCCAGCCAAAGACGCATAAGGTGGCGGCGGGGGGCAGGAGGCGCGTGATCGGTGTACTCAGTGCGGGCATGCAGGACGTGCGCATTCGACAAGAACTGAATATCACCAATATCGAGAATCATGTGCAGCGACAGGCGCACGCAGGTTGCTTCCAGCACGCGCAGGGCTTCTTGCTGAGCTTCTGACAGCGGGGGGATGATTCCTGCGTCGCTGAAGCGGGTGAGGGAGCGGACGTAGTACGGGTCCCATCTGTTTCTATTGTTAGATGCTGAAATATTGATATGGGATATGGGTGGGGGGAGAACTTACTTTGTGTAGACACGGCCGTTCTCGCCGGGCTCGAGGTACACCACGCTGGTGCGAATGTACTCGTCCTGTCCCTTGCTTGTCTCGCCCTTGCGGTCGAAGTACCAGATTGGCTCTGTGAGGGTCTTGAGAACGTCTGGGCGTTCTGCGGCGAGGGTGTTGTAGACGGAGTGGGAGGAGACGAGGTCTGATTCGCCGCCCTCGAGGGCCTTGGCGATGCAGAGGAGACCGACGATGTCGCAGTCGTCAGCGTGGAAGTATTGGCTAGTTAGGGATTAGTTGATTGTTCGTTTCTTGTTGCGCATTCACTAGAGAAACTCACCGAGCATTGGTGCGGTAGATGCGCACTTTGTCGATCTGGGTGGAGTCCTCGCCGAGATCCTTGACGTGGCCAAGGACGTGGCCGCGGCTGTTCTGGCTAACGAAGTAGCCGAGATATGTGCCGAGACCCATGTATGCCACGGCGGACTTGTGGTTGCCCCATTTCTGGACAGGGAAGCCCTTGAAGAGGATGAAGCCCTTGCCGTCGATGAGGTCTGCGCGCAGGTCGTGCAGGTAGGCGGCGAGAGTGGGGAGTTCGAAGTTGGTCTATTGAAGTATGATTAGTTCTGGGTTTCTAGTTTCCTAGATGTGAATTGTTCTCACCTTTGAGATTCCGGTCAGCGGGGTCTTGGATGCGATGAAAGCATCCGATGCCTTGCTCAGCTCATCGATCTGGGCCTCGGTGAAGACATGTGTCCATTTTTCTGGGTGCTCGCGGTATTCCTCAGCCTTCCACACTGTTGGGCCGGTGATTTCTTTAGGGAACTTTTCGAAGGGGACGAGCTGGTCGTATAGCGGGGGATGTTGGCCAGTGGTCTTCAATCCATCTGGGAACAAATCCCACGAGATGGGCCCCTTGAGATCATGAGGGGCAGTTGGGAGAGGGGAGATAGCAGCGGGAGCCATTATGAATGATTTTTAGAGAGGAGGTATGTTGTACAGATGAAGCACTAAATGAAGGGCCATTGGTTTTTATTTATATTCTGTCACTTCTATTGTCGACGGTGAGCAATGTAGTGGATTATATGGCGTGACGAGATCAGATAATTGCTCTTGTATAACAAAACGAGTGCGGCCACCAAAGAAGTGAAGCTGATTGGGGGTGGAAGAGCCGATATGGCGCAATTTGCGGGGTAGGATGTTGTGATGGCAGTGGGGGATCACGAATTTGGCTTCAAGATATTTTCGAGATAGGTTTATTGACGAGAATGGGAAGATAGACAGGATGTAGAAAGACTTGAATGTGCGAAATTACTAGTTGTGAAGTCGCGATATAGTACTTGACGTTGAAACAAGGTCACGGTACCTGGGGAGTCTAGGATCTACTTATTCACCACCATAGTACATATTCGATATACATGCACATCTCTGACATCCACTTGCGCAGCCAGTCAGAGTCTCGGCCGATAGACTAGGCCGCTAGACTAAGCTTATCCATTGTCTTCTAGCACAACATATTCTGACCACAGCCGATCGTACCGACAATCGTGCATGCGCCGGGTGGTCGGGTTGTTCCCAGAGAGGAAGTGCTCTAGACAGATCTATTATCCTTGTAGCTCATGCAATGCATGCAGAGAATCTATCGGGCGAGAGGTTTGAGTTCTACCGTTTTACCTTAAATATAGTTGGTCTTAGGGCTTCGGAGAGCACATGGTAATCCGTTCCTTGATTTTAACTCGCAAGGTTCGAATGTTGCAATTGATAAAGCACGCTGTGCCCCTGAATATATCTCGAAATTCTTTCATTCTTATATACATCTAGCCTTCGAACTTTGCATATGGTGCTTGCTCTCGTGCTTCTTGATTTGATACCTATCAATGGTCTTTGGATACACGATTTCATCTTTTGCCTTCTTTCCTTTTTGCGATATTCTCCCAGCTTTCCATTTCCGAATAAACAATGACTTTGATCTCTTTTGATGTCAGTCTTGCTATTCTTCATCAGCTTTCTGCAGACAAGGATTGGCTTTCCTATTTGGGATGCCCCACCAGATTACTCAAATCCTTATCGGGCGTGGGGACACGAACGCCCTTTGATATCGAAGTTTTCATTTTTGTGTATTTGTAGAGTTATACATTCCTTTCGTTTAGCACATACCTCCATTTGAATAGATACCCAAGCCCATGGCCCAACGCATGATTCACGTGGCCGCGCTAGACGCCGACATTCCATGCCTCTCAGTATACAAAGCGCGGGGTCTATATAGCTCGCACTTCCGCGTCCTTCTGCAAGCAGCTGCCGAACGCCTGAATAAGAACCCAGAAACCCTCCGGAACGGACCTCTCGCCATCCATATAACCGCCTTCGATGCCGTAGGCGGGTCTCTGCCTCCTCTGGAAACCCTACGAACCAAACCTCAGTCGCCAGCCGAGCTTCACGCCGGACCACTGAGTCCAATAGACGCAATCTTAATCACGGGCTCAGCAGCCTCGGCTTATGAAGACCAGCCCTGGATCCATGCAATGCAATCCTTCATCCGAACAGTGCACACCCACTACCCCAACATAAAGCTCTTCGGCTCCTGTTTCGGGCACCAGATAATTGCGCAAGCCCTCCTCAGCAATATCGCCAACCCCATCCACTCACCAATATCAACATTCCACGTCGAGCACTCCCCAGCCGGCTTCGAAATGGGCATCCAGCCCATCACCCTCCAGCCCTCCTTTACCGCGCACTTCCCGCCTCTCGCACGCGCCACAGCTCAGCACCCATTCCGCATCCAGCTGATTCACGGCGACGCGGTGGTGCCGACACCCGAGGCCGAAGCTGCCGCGGACGATGCGGGAGTCGCGCTGCCGGAACCGTGGTCCAGTATCGGGAATAGTGCGCAGTGCGCTATCCAGGGTCTTTATAACCCCGGCCGAGTCCTGACGTACCAGGGGCACTTTGAATTAGATACTTTTGCCACTGGGGAACTTGCGCAGGAGTTTGGACGTCGTGCGGGGTGGTCGGCGGCTGTTGTGGGAGGGTATCTGGAGCAGATTTATCGTTCGCGCATTCCTGGGTTTGAGGATGATGATGATTCTAAGGCTGCTGCTGAGGCGGTTTTGTTGTTCTTTGCTGGGGAGGATGTGGATTCTATGTGTGGTATTGATACTGGGATGATTACGCCTCCGCTGGATTGATTGCCTTTTTTACGGTCGGGTAGACATGAAGAGTAATGGTATTTGGCGTTATTAGCTATATATTTCTATCAGTTGTTGGGTATTGTGTCCGAGCTGGTTTCGTTTCGGCGTTTCGGCGGGCGAGTTTGTTCAGGGTAATCCCTTGAAGGCAAACCGTGCGCCAAGGGTTTCAGATGATACTGAGCATAGGACACGAATAGGAGTTACGAGTTACAATAATAGTTCGTCAGCTCTCAGCCCCTTAGTGACGACATACTAGGTTACCGTGATCGTGTTGGACCCTGCATGGCTGACACGCAGCTGGTATGCTGGTCTGCAGGAAGGGATTAATGCGGTCTGAACAAGGCTGGAAATCGAATTACGCGATACAATGGTCATAGTTCTTAGATCCGAGATCTCGGATGGAATTAAGGGTAGTACAATGGAATATAACAATAAGCTGCATGAAGCTAAAGGCGCCTTACATGAAATCTAGGCGATACCGATAAGTTACATTGTCCAGAACAAAGTCGCCCGAAGTCGACTCGCAAGCTCTCCACTTTGTCATTTTAAGTGGAGCGTGACATGCTTGACATTTCTAGTGTATGGATAGATAGTGCAGTCTGATAACAGCCTTATTACATTATTCTTCCGTATGCTCAATATAGTTACTACTACTATTAGTATTCGATATTGCTCATACAATGTACCTCGTACGGCATACCAAAACCTCGAACTGGAAATCTCAGACTTTTCTGTTGATCCCCTGCACGGCCACCCAGAACCGGGATGGCGTGGGAGTTGCACCAATGAGAATGAAGGTAATTGGAGAGTCGGTGGGGACTGGGGGCCAATCATGCTGCTTTTGGATGCTCTTCATCGGCATTTTGTTATACAGGGTATTGGTAAGGTACTGGTATTGGTGTTTGGTATTTGGTATTTAGGCAGGTAATCTAGAAAGCTATGCCTCTAGAGTTAAGAATAAATGGGGGTCAGAGCTGACAGATACTTGGAAGATCTGGGAATCGGATACTCGAGAGAGATATACAATATAGTGAATGGCTACATGTACCTAGGTATGTATTCAAGCATACTCATATTTCAGGTAGGGCATAAGAAGTCACGCGCTCTACCCCTTCCATTGCTCTATCGCATGATGTTCCCCAATATTGGTCGACCCAAGTATAAAATTAGAAATAACATAATACAACCATGGAAATCTCCAATAATACCATACGTAACATTACGCTGTAACGTGGCGCTAGTTCGCCACCCGGAGCTTCCCTCCCTTCTGGAATGAAGCTCAGGAGCTGGGGAGAGCTTCAGAGGGGCCGCTGATAGCGCCTATCGCGACATATTTCGGTTTCTTTCCTTTTGCCCGGGTTGCGCATTAGAACAGCGCTAGATATGTGTTTATTTTATGAATAGTCCGAATAAAAAAATCGACATTCATAGATGTCACATAACAAAATTTATAAATTCAATGATATTCGCTAAGAGCTTCGGTGTTCCACCGGGGTTTCCGACGAACCGTGCTAATCGGTTGTATTTAAATACCAGTTCTGTACGATACCGTATCCTTTTTTTTTTTCTTTCATTTTTCACTCCTTTTCCTTGTTAATTTCCTCGTTAATTTCCTTTTCATTTCCTTTCATTTCCTTTGTATATCGTTGAATTCCACTTTAACAAGTAAATAAGCTAAATTCCAAGAATGGGGGTTTTCTTTACCAGGGAAGCTCAAAGCTGCACGCCCCTCTTTTGGTTATCGATACTCGATAGGCACGATAGCCAGGTATTCGAGCTCACAACTACAGAACTATACCACCAGAAGTAGAGAGGGAAGCTATTCCGGACGAGAATTAATAGCAGAATTGGAATCCAACGACAGATCCCAAATATTCACCCAATCGAAGAAGCACGGAGTAAAAAATAGAATAAGGCGAACTCTGCGTAATTACCCGTAATACCCCCAGTGACTCTCCCACAACTAGCCCTCGAAGTACTCTCTGAATGTACTCCGTATGAGCCGCCCTCTCGTCCTTTTCCTTTTTTTTACCCTTTTCCAATTCTTCCCTTCTTCTTCTCTACACACAGAGCATGTTGAACTGCATTTCCCTTTCTTGTTCATATCAACCCTGTCTGTGCTTGGCTGCCCTCTTTATTCGCCCCTCCTTTTTTTATCTCAACTCCCGGGATCTCGGATGATCATATGCACCATGCCTCCTCGAAGCTCACTGACCAGCTCGTTCTCGGTAACCGATGCCAATAATGAGGTGGTCTGTCCCTTGAAGAACAATGATAGTTCCAATTGTCGCAAGCGATGTCTCGGTGTGAGTACTCGCCCCCAAGCCCCACCTATCACCGGCGTGCGAGAGCTATACCCGTGCAACTCGGGAGTTCCAACTTGAACTAATCCGGTTGGTGCTCTAGGAAAAACGCTATCGCTCCATGCAGGAGCACATTCGACGTGCGCACCCGAACCACTACATCCCGAAGCTCCCGGCTACCGAGGAGAGCTTCCTGATGATGGTGAACACCCCGCTCGAGCAACGGGTGCAGCTGTCACCTCCCGAACCCGCTCAACCTCGTCGACCTCATGGTCAGTTTTTGTTTTTTGTTTTTTTTGTGTCTTGATTGCCTTGCTTGGTCGCTACACGTACTGACGGCTATGCACAGATGTGGCGCCGGAAAGAGACATCTATGTGGCGGACGGCTCCCCGCCTACCCCTCGAGCTCTGGATGAACCCCACCCAGCTGCGGCCACGGCGGCGGTGGCTTTGGCACAACTGCATCACCATAGACTGGCCTCGGATTGGGATACAGACATGGTTTGTCGCTCCGGGCTGTTGTGGGCTTCGACCCCTGAGTCTCTCCACAGTGGCACTGACCTGCATTTCCCCAGGATACCCATTCGGATACCGACTTGAGTCATCCTCGCATGCGCGGGGCTATTGAACTTCCCCCACTCCGCGACCATTTCAAGCAGGAATCCCTTCCGCCGTTTACGCCTCGTCCGCGCGAGCTTCTCCCGTCCATCCTCAATCACTCCCCGCCTGGTCGCTCATCCACATTACCGCCGATCCAGCGGAGAGACAAATTTTGCCGCCCGCGCAAATCTTCCATCACCCAATCGGCCCGGAAACCTAAGCAGGATCGCCCCAAGTCAAAGGAATTCGGCCGGCGACCAAGCCTCGGTGACCGCAAAGCCCTTTCGGCAGAGCCGCAAACCGCGGCCTGGGCGCAAGGCAAGCGCTGGGAGGACTTGATTGAAGCGGCGACGTCGGCAACCGAAGTAGACGATGAGCCATATTCAGAGGTGAGTTTTGATGCAATTCTGGAAAATTTTCTGGGTACTGATGCGCCAGTTCAGGCTGGTCGGTCTCCAACGATTGCCCCACTACTTTCCAGCGTGACTTCTGCCCCCTCTGGGGTGAAAAATCGGTCCTCGCTACCACCCGCTTTCCAATCCACAGGATTGCCTCCGATCTCTTCACATAGGCCATTCCCACCGCATTCATACGCCGCCTCGCCTTTGCACAAATCATTGACCCCACCACCATACGAGAATCACCGCAGCCGTGAGAGCGACTTGGAACCATTCCCATCTATTGAATCATCGCTCGATTCCATGTCTTCAGCATCGGGTAGAAATTTTGCATCATCGGTTTCGGGAGTCGCGCCGTCCATAAACTCTGATTCTAGCCCAGTTATGAATCTTATCCCGTCCTTGTCCCAGCGCCAACATCACCGATTTTCCAACCCTACTCCGGCGTCTTTCCGCAACAAGGAGGTTCAGGTGTTTTGCGCTCAGTGCAAACGACCCTCGGCACTGAATGAGTGCTATGCTTGTACGGAGTGCATATGTGGCGTTTGCCGCGACTGCGTGGGCATGTTCATTTCAAGTCCGCCCGCTTCATTCCGAACCCCGGGGAATGGACCATTAAATAATGCCTCACAAGGACCGACAAGCTACCCTGGTCCTCGTGGGTGTCCTCGCTGTCGAACGGTGGGAGGCAAATGGAAGGCTTTCCAAATCGACATCAAGTGAACGACTTCATTAAGACAGCCTACATTTTTGGCATTACGCATTTTACGACTGATGTTTGGTACACGTTCATTCTTATATTGTTATTTATTCTTCATTCCATCGGCATTTCCGGTTTTCTGGGTTTCTTTTTTTTTTTTTTTTTTTTTTTAAATTATAGGGCAGTAAATTAAAACAACAGAAGGTTTGAGGAGTTTGTTTTATTTTTAAGGCCAGGGTTTTTTGG